CTTCCCTTTCTCACTTGCAGTGTTTACTGTCTGAGAGGAGAATAACACTGTCTCAAATCACTCAATGTCCCCTACATAGTGCGCTACTTTTCAAACAAACACGATCATCATTAACACGCAATTGAGTTTTAAATAGGGAATTTGTAACCTGTTGTTAATGTTGATTATAAATGACTTAGTCGAACGTTTCATGCACTCTTTGGGTGAAGGATTTGCTATTTCATGATCCACGTGCACTACATAGGGAAGATAGTGTGCTTTGAGACGGGACCTTGCGCGAGTAAACGCTGTGTGCCGCTTTTAGGAAAAGCAGAGAGTTTCAGAGATTAAACTTTAGGAGTGTTTGTGCCGCAGCTCAGATGCATGTTCATTTTAAGTTATGTTTTAGTTTTAAAACGCTTTCAGAGAAGCAGCTCCACAGGTGAACTCACACTGTGTGAGTTCTACACTGTCTGCAGCTCACAGCATGGTCACGCAATTCCTCTGTGATTTTGGCTGTTTTTCCTGGTCCGCTGTATTGATTAGGGGTACAGCGCCACAACGGCACAATAATGCTGCAATTGTAGTTAGGACGGAGATCCCCCGAGTGCAACACGTCTTGGAAGTAGTAATTTTCCATTAAGACCCACCTCAGAGTTGGTCCAGATTTAATTCTCTATGCAGGGAAATCCCTAGTTATTGTACTTAATAATAATAATAATAATACTACATTTGCTATTCTTTTGTTTACAGAGTATTACAAATATTGTAAGTAATACAAAAGTAATACTACAAATGTATTGACTATATTTTTTAATGTTTATGCAAACAAAAAGTGCATATTGCTGCCAATTCTATTTGTGTTAATATACGAATTGGTGAAACAAGTTTGTTTGTGTATCAGTATTTGTTTATTTATTTATTTTACTTTTCAACACATTTGAACAATATTGCGATAATACTGATAATCGTGATCATTTTGGTCATGATAATCGTGATATGAAATTTTAATATTGTTTCATCTCTGTATGAAATTTAAATAAATTTACTATAACTCACTGCATTGATTGATTAAACAATTGTTTATTTATCGGTTAATGGCTAATTGGTTAATCATAAACGTATAAAGCTAGGTTCCATTAGCAAGCTATGGCCCTCTTCGTTGGAATGGCTAGCTTTATTGTCTAACCTTTATGAAACAGATGTTGTGTGTGATCGTGTGCGTGGGTGGTGTGTGTGTGTGTGTGTGTGTGTGTGTGTGTGTGTGTGTGAGAGAGAGAGAGCGAGAGAAAGACACATTTTGGGAAATTCTTGCATGTCAGTGATTCAGTGTAGGCTCATTGTTGGAACTTTAGCAGTGATATCATCACTGAACAAAAGATACTGAGGTGGAGCTTTACACACAGTTATTAGGACAATCATGCCGTTATTTACAGCAGCTGTTCAGATTTGTTTTTGCCATTATGTTTCCTCAGCTTATGACACTATTGATTGGTTAACAATTTACAATTTTGTAAACAAATTTAAACTTTACAATTTGAATCATGGTCAGTGGTCACCATTGGCTTCCATTGATTGCTGGAAACATTTTGATGGCATTTATGGGTGAAAAAAATAGCTACTTATTGTATGCTAAATCTAGAAGGAGAGTGTTGTAGCCCTGAAAAAGAATTTTCTAGTTGATTTCCATTTTAGAAATATATAGTCATAGACATTAAGGCCCTAATTTTCAAAGCTGGTTCATTTATACTTAACTCACCATGCTTTGGGAACAAAAACTCTATCACTTCAACTCTCCATGTACTGTAGTAGTTATAATTAGAAAAAAAGGCATCCAGAGGCTGTTGTGTTAGAGGCTCAATGTAAATGTGCCATCAGCTTGATGTAAACAAAAATGACAAAGAAGAATTTGCATTGGTGCAGTTCTTGCTTAAGAGTACTGCAGTGGTAAGTAAATGATGTGTTGAGTCACTCTCACCAAGTTCACACCTATGCTGACCTGGTACTGTGTGTTTGCCTGCCGGCAGTGTTGAGAACGGAGTGTTTGAGTATTCGGGGTGTGGGCACGGTGCTCAAAGCACTGCGCTACCAATACCATGTGATGTGAGAACCTTATCTTACTTGACGTCTTTGATATTTCTTTGTGAATTAGTTGATTTACCTTGAAATGGCTCTTCCCAATGCTCTTATAGGCTTCAGACAAAATAACATGGTTGACTGCAATTTGATTGATTGCATCATTTGTTATGGAATCAATAAATATTTTTCAGTTTTTTCATTAAGACTGTCCAAAGATTAAAATAATGAATCATGATTAATCACATTACTTTGTGTAGTTAATTTTAACTATGTGATTAACTGCATGTGTTTTATTTGCTCTAGTTTGACCCCAAATATTTTTTTAAAAAGCAAATATTTAAAGAACTCATTTAAAAAGCACTGGACATGAGTGGACAAAAAAAGCTTCATAAGATTGTATTTATCACTTTCATTTATTCAACAACTGTATTTTCAGTGTGGGAATGCAGAGTTCACAAGAACCTGAACATGAAAATCCTGTGATTTAGAAAGAGTGAAACTACAATTCGTAGAGAGCTATATTTTGCTATGCAAGGGTTAGCAATATGACAATATATATCGCTTTTGTGATAAATTTTGTCATCTTGATAATCAATGTTTTATTTCTGAGCATGTCATGGATATTGTCATTACTTAAAGAACAGTGTTTAGTTGGATGTAGTGCAGTATAGTGTGCAAAATGTTGAATTATAATCATCCCTGCACTGCCACAATTAAAAAATACTGTCAGCATCTATGAGTGCTTATCTTTATGCAGTGTTTGCCAGTGAAATAGGACTACTTATGCTGTCTTTGTAATGAAACGTGTTCTTTAAGTGCTGACCATGTTCACGATATGCTCAGAAAAGCGTATTGTGACGTAAGGCTGGGCAATATGACACTATATATTGTTATCATGATAAATTATGCCACAATATAATACAGGATGCTTTTTTGCATACGTTTCATTATGAAGAGAGCAAAATTAGTCCTGTATAACTGGATTTAGTGCACTCAGTATGCCAAATACTGAATTAAAAACACTTTGTATTTGCACTTTCTGATAGTGTTTTTTAAATGATGGTGCTACTGGTTCTTTTTCTTTTCAGATGTTGTGTATCATATCATGCATCATGAAACCTTCTTGAAGTATTGCGGTATTACATTTTTGCCGTATCGCCCTCCTCTATAATGACATAATTTGTCATGATAACGCTAAAATATTGTCATTTTGCCCATCCCTAGTAGTATTTAAATGTGGCACTACTAGCACATTTTATCTGTGTGTCAAAATATGGTGTGATTCAAAAAGATTCATCCGATTTCAAAACGCCATATTTTTACAATCGTGAGGTACCCAGGAACCAATCACATACAAATAGAAAGAGGGGGAAATAGAGTTTCTGGTTGTAAGTATGGCAGTACGTCATTGGTACCAACAGTTCCAAGAAAAAGGTCACCAGCATCACCAGATCTCACGCCATGTGACCTTTTTTTGTGGGGATGCGTTAAGGATTCTGTTTATGTGCCGCCACTCCCAACACTGGATGATCTCCAAAATCGCATTGAAAGAGCCATGAGTAAAGTGACACCTGACATCAATTAAGTATGGGATGAATTTGACTATTGCGTTGATGTTCTCCGTACAGCTGGAGGAGGTCATATTGAGCACTTGTAAAATTACATAATAAACTTTATGCTCACTTAAACCATTTACAATTTACTGCATTGTTCTGTAATGATTTACAAGTAAAATAAATCTTTTTGAAATTGGATAAATCTTTTTGAATCACCCTGCATTTTGATATGCATATTGAATATCGTGAAAAAGTATCATGATATGATATTTTTGCAATATTGCCCACCGTTACTGCTATGTTACCTCTTATTTTGTGGGGAACTGTAGCTTTCTGCATTGCTATTGCTTTGGTTAGTTTGCTGCTGGTTGACTAATCCATTGGTCTCCTGTGAGTACTGTTCAGCATAGTCTGCCAAAGGCGTCCTCCCGTGCTACTGATATCACTGATTTAGCCGGTATCAGCCTTCTTCCCTCTTCCTCCATCTGTTCTTCAGTGATAAATACATTCACCATGGTAGTAGGTGGATTTTTAAAGAGAGCCATCAATAAAACTTGCCATTTGAAAGCTGCACTTGAACGAGAGGGCTACAGTTGCAGAGTCAATCATAGCAACATACTGAGGGCGAGAAGAGTGGAACTAAGTGGTTCAAAGGTTTAAAGTAGAAAACTGTGATAACGAGTTAACAATATTAATAATTTATGTAGTTTTTGTGTAGTTTTATGTAGTTTATGTAGTTTCTGTTCAGGCAGCAAAAATAATGAGAAACAAAATAATGACAGTTACCATGGATGCCAGGAAGCGCTGCTGGTTCGCCAGAGTTCACCTAAGCATTGCCGTGTCTCAGAAATGTTTGCGGTAGCTGTGTGTGGGCTGCATGCTTTTCCCCACCTGCTCTGTGGAGACACACTGTCTGAACCCTAAACCGGAGGAAAGATGTTATCTGTAAACTTTTCATCCCTTTGCAGATGACACTGCTCCGGGATCAGTTTACAGGGGTGCTCACTTTTAATTTGAGTAGCTGCTACTCCAATTCAGCTTCCTCATTATATGCCATTGTGTGAAGAGAGTAAAAGCTCCAGCATGTTTTGGCTTATCAGTGTTTTTTTCTGTACACTATAAGGGCTGGTTTTCTGTACACAGTGTAAAAGTTGGAAATTACACCATCATCTTACACCAGATGCTCCACTGAAGAGCCTTTTAGCAGAAGCATGGACGTGAATTGTTTGGAAAATGTATCATTATGTTTAATTTGTTGGGATGCAGGTACTTCATGTAGTCAGGTACTTTTTTTAAGCAAAGTGCCACACTTTCTCTAAGCAGCTCTAGTTATAAATGAGCTGGTTTGTCATTTTGTATTAACAACAGACATCATCTGTTTTGCAGATTCCTTTGTCAACAGTCAGGAGTGGACATTGAGTAGATCAGTGCCAGAGCTCAAAGTGGTAAGTTGCTATGCTTCTTAACCTTTTTCCTATGTAATATATATTTGTGATGCATCAAAATGAAAATTCCTGACCAAAACTGATATTTGAGACACATCTGGCCAAAAGAGTTTTGATTTATTTATTTATTTATTTATTTTTGTATTGAACCTATAGTAGAGAAGTTCTTGAGCATTGTACCTTTTCTTTATACTCAACTATGTCCCTCATAGAAACCATGAAATGTTTTCACTCTCCAACTTTCACTCCAACTTTTTTCTGCTGCTGAACCTTTTTGAACCCATCTGTGCTTTTTCGGCCTTTCTTTTGGGGCGAAAACTGATAGTGCCACTCTGACCATTTTTGGCCAAAATGTTTCATTGGCCGAAATCTCAGTGCATCCCTGATACGTATATTATAATAGTATTTTACATATTTAAAAAACAAAAGTCATGAACCTATTCAGTCAAGTAGTCAAATGGATAATTGAATGCTCTGTTAACCATTTCAGGTATTTAAATCCTGAAATCACTGTTCAATTACTAGTTATGTTGCATCATGGACATTTAGGGAGAAAATATACAAGCCAACAATTCAGTGAAACCCTGATTTTATGTTTTAACAGTATGAAAAGCTGTAAAGTGTGACAGTTTTCCTTGTGTGTGTGATTATATATTTCTTTATCATCATCCCCAAGATCAACTGATGCGTTCATTACCTCTCACGAGTACTGGAATATCAGAATAAACCATAATGCACATTTCCACTGTGAAGGCTTAAATCAGAATTACTTTTCTTAACTGTAACACTGTTATAGTTTTAAATGAATACATTTGAACAAATGAATAAAGCTCTTTCCCATCAAGCTCCTCAAAATGCCACAGGTTCAGAGAAGGCACGGTTAGGAATTCAGTTTAATAAAATGCAGCAAAAGGAGCTGCCAATTTGTGTGACACAAAACTTGCACATGAAATGCAGTTTAACGTTCAGTAGCGTTGAGTATGGCACTTGTAGCGTGTCTCTGGCATGGAGACACAGCAGGGCAGATGTGCCGCTGACAGTGAGTGACACTTTCAGGTTATGCCGCTGACGGTCCCTGAAAATGATACACCCACATCAATCATTAGAGGCCTTTGAATTTTCTCTCATGAAGTCGGTGTTGAAATGTGAAGTTCATGAGCGCTTTTATTGCCTCACAAATTAGAACAAAATGATTTTTATGCCAGACCATGGAATGTTAACCCTTAGAAGTCTCTTAAATTTACCCTTTTTGCTACATTATTAAAAAAAAAAAATTCTACAATACTATATTATTAATTTAGGGCTGCAACTAATTATTATTCCCATAATGATTACCCTGTCCCTTTTGATTTTGATGAGGTTAAGAAAAGAAAAAGTGCAGCTATTAACTTGTTGATGATTAACGTTTAATATTTAACATTATACACAGTGTTTAAACATGACGTGGAAAAAGACAAGAAAATGATAATGGAACAACACAAACAAATGCAGTTTAGACGAATGATTTCAAAATGTAAATTTTGCGTTGTTTATTTTTCTGACTTATTTTATTAATTCAAAACAGAGCTAGCTGAAAAGCACACAATGATGTGCTATTTTTGACTTTGTCTCCTCTTTCTTTATAATATCCCTGAACAAGGGCACTGTACTACAAGTATTAATGCACCCTTAGTTGGTCTATAATGGTCGTGTGTGACAGTTGTGCTGTTGTGAGCTTGGTTTAGGAGACCTTTTTAGATGTGAATTGTTGCTATATTTTTGATTTTCTTCTATCTGTATTTTATTTTAATTGAAGTAACGTTAGATGGGAAGTATAGGTCTTGTCAGACCTATTAATTGATAAGATTAATTGCTGACTGTTGTTTTTATCATCAGCATTATGTATCTACCATCTGTTGCAGCCTCAAATTAATTATGTGGTTAGTTACATTTCACATAATTACATGAATGTGAATTACATTTACATTGTTATATTGTGTATCAAGTTCAAACCTCCATTTGATAAAGTGTGTATTTTTCTTTCTACAAAACAAGCACTTTTGACATGATTTCCCTGCAAGCACAATGAACTGTGAGTGAAAAGTAATTAGATAAAATTACAACAAGCTTTTATCGTAACGGGTATTTACTGAGACTTCTAAGGGTCAATAAGACTTACCCTTGGATCCATACGTTGTTTGACGTGGAAAGTACTGGATAGGCAGTGACTTCACAGTTTTCTTATTAATCATAAACTGCATGTATGCCATAGGGGTGTAACAATTGAAAAAAAACAATTCAATTAGACACTGAACTGTTGTATCTCAGCACAATTTTCAGTACAGTGGAAATGGCAGCAAAATGTACCTTACATTAACATTCATCATGAAGCAGTATAAGGAACAAAAGCTGTGCTTTATAGTGTTCTCATCTAAAGCTCTAACCACATGCTAATATTAGCCCCAAGCTAACACATTAGCCACAAGCTAGTATGCTAGTCATGATGAAATGATTCAGTATGATATGCTGCGATATAATACAATTCAGTATGATACGATGTATTGTTACATCCCTAGTATGCCTTTTTATGTCTTTTTAACAGGATCCTCATGGAAATACTCCTTATACATTGATGAGAAAAGAACACACGCTGATAAAACATTTAAATCAATCACGCTCGAAGGAGATTTCTAACCTTCTTTTGCATACGAAGCCTGAAGCCTCCAGCCTCCACTTGCATAATCAAGAGTGTATTTATGCCTGCATCGCTCTGGAGGATCGCTCCTCCTAAAGCCTCGTTAAGACCGCTCGGTGTTCTCATCCCCATAATTAAACCCAAACACGGCTTAATCACCCACTTGCAACCTAAAGAGAGGGGGAAGAGAGGATGTTTGCGTTGTTGGAGCCTTTGTTCTTTGCAGACACGCTGGCATCTTGCACCTTGTCCTGTGAGAACACAGTGAATCCTGAGGGGATCAAGCGTGCCTCTTTCAAACCACAATCAGGGATTTCGGAGCAACAGAGTCACAGGCATGCAATTGAATTTTCACAGGCCCGGCACAGCAAGGCTGAGCTGGGGTACAATGCCCTTGAAAATATTCACAGGCCAAGTTTTGAATTCCAGGAGCAATGCACGATGAAACAGAAACAGTGTTTTAGAGCTCTGAATTTGAGCTCTGCATTTAAGTTTGTGTTTTTTGTAAACAGTGGAGATAAGTGGAGTTCCTTCTATGGTGCTCAATGTGTGTGATTACTGTACTTGATTAAAATATGTCCTGTTTTCAAGAATAAAGGTGATGCATTGTAAAGTAATGAAAAATTAGGCATAGGGCTGCACAAAAGAACACACAAAAATTGTGATCTTGATCTAACTGTGATCTTGGTTAACTGTGATGGTAGCATGCTGACCATGGTGAGCACATCATTGCCTTAACTGGGCATTTTTTCCATGAGAGTTAAGTGAGAATTGGTAACCACAACACTTATGCACCGCTGCCACACTCAACACGTTCCTGTGTTCTCAACGTGGGCATTTACACTGCCCGCACGTGCCAGGAGTTCCGCCTCAACTGTCATGCGCAAGATGCCGAGCAAGGGACGTGCAGTTGCCACTGTCAAAGCGTAAAGTTTACCATGAGCTGCGCGCCACCAGAAGCATGCACAAAATGCCCTGCAGCATTTCACTCGCATTCCCGATTAGCTGCCGTACTGCATTGCTGTTGGTATGGAACAAGTTCATGTTAGCTTCATTTGTACTGTTGATATCTTGTGTTCAGTGACACACAAAGCATGAAATAGACTAACTGAAGGATAACTTAGTTAGCCTGATGCCAGGAGACAGGCCTGTTCTTTATTATTGTGAATGATGTATTGAACAGATATTGAAAGTTTTACATACATTTCACCCTGACACCAAAATTTGCTACTCCAAACAGTTCTACCGTAGAGTGTTTTAAACACACACCTGTGCATTTTTACAGAAGGCTCTTTATAGGCTACGATTGTTTTGTAGAACAGTTGGTTAGGCCTGTTTCAAACAGACTTTGTGTGTTTATTTGAATTCTTTCTGGGTGTCAACCCTTACACTCTAAACTGTATAAATTCACTGATAGCCTTATAGAACATTTCTACCATTAAAATCATTACCAACAGCAGTAATTTATCCAGTTTTGTGATACATTCCTCTAGTAATTAAAATAATTATTTCATGTAGAATCAGAACATGTACAGCGTTTTTGCACAGATAAACAACCAGTTTCACAGTAAAACACAGTACAAGACACATACAATCAAAAGCAGAGAGCGCAGTATCAGGTTGTGTTCTGCGATGAACTGACAGAACAAAAGTCACTGAAGATGCAGTGTATCTGTAAAGTGAGATTGAGGGGCAAATGTATCTTTGCTAACGCATTTGTAAGTTATATGCCAAATGTGGCAATTTTTAATGTTTTTCTATAGTCAGATAAGAAAGTACAAAACAAACAGAATTATTGGCCAGAGTTTATGAAGAACCTGTATTAGACTAGATTTTCCATAACGTAGCCTTACATACCTGTGTACCCCCAAAACTGTGACAAAGCCATATTTTATACAAGTAAATCATATAGGTTGACACCTTTGTGTTTAAATTGTTGTTACAAGGTTTCTGAGAATATCGCAGATACCATTAGTACTTATAAAACAACTTCATGTTTGATTACAAAAAGAGCCTTATTAGTCCTGTTTAGAATTTGTAAAATGTGGCACTATGTGTCATGGCATTACATTTTTGCCCACCTCTAGCTGTTTATGTTGATGTGCTATGTAAGAAAATTCAAATACATATAAATGAATATTTGTTCTTTCCAATATTCTAAGCAAAAAAAAATTAAATGTGTTTTCCTATTTACCAATCATTCAGCCCCAACTGGACATCTAATTTCTCTGAAGATGCTTGAGATGCTTGTATAAGCAAATGTGTAACTGAGATTTTTTTTAGTATTAAAGTATCCAGTGTTAAATCAGTTTAAGAGCAATCTGTCGGTCCATATCATGGTTTGAAGCCTCTCTGCTCTGAAGGAACAGCACGTTGTGTGTGTAAAACAAGCCAAAGACCAAAAGGCTCCAAACAAGGCAAAGAATTCTCTTCTCTTCATGTTAGGAAACTTCTCCAACTGTTGGGGGCAACCAGTTAATGAAACTTTTCTTTTCCCCATTTCAAGCTGGAGGCTTCCTGGGGTGAGAGAGAAATGCTGCTGATGGAAAAAGAGAGAAACAGAAAGGGGCCTTAAAGACAAAGAAAACCTCCTAACACTGCATTGCACTGGCACAGGAAGTTGCATATTTTAGCCATCTTAGATGTTCTGGTTATCTAGACACATACTTACCTTGTTTTGGATGGATTAGGGTGTTTCTGCAACTACAAGCACTTTTAGGTCCGGCAGTGAATTGTTGAATATTTTAACTTTTTTAGCAAAATGTAAAGAGAACAGTTTAGTAGTGTCATAGGAAATTTTCACATATAAATTGGTTGCTACATGTAAAGAGATGAGATTATTTAAAAAGCATATTTTGGGCCAAAAATTCTAGTTTTATCCATGTCCCATTTTTCAATCTTTAAAATCATAAAAAGAAATTACTAAGCTACAAAAGTACATCTTTCAGTTGTAACTGCATTGTATAAATATTAAATCAAAAGATTGTTGTATTCTGTATTATTGTAAAAGTTCAGTGCAGTTGTGGTTATTATCCACCTAAATAGCTAATCACTGCTGCATTATATTAAATCAAATGTACTGAGGATGGAATTTAACAAATCATTGTGATGGCTGGGGGTACTGAGGAAACATCTACAACTGAACATCAACAACTTTTTCAAAAACAAGAAATTCTTGGGACTTTTTCCTGTGTTTATATTTATTTCATTTATTCTACTGATGTATGGTGAATTAAAAATAGAATATTTTAAATAATGTGCCTAGGTGCCTTAGACTTTTGCACTGTAGGTATACAGTTACAGACTGTGGATCATCTGTTGTCATCAGTTTGTCATTTGTTAATTATGCACTGATAGGGGAACCTGTGGCTGATGCCAATATCTGATATTTTTTCATGTACATATCTGCCAATGCGAATACATAAAAAATTATAATGTGTAATTTGAGACTAGATTCACCTGAATTAGCATTACAGAGAAATATAACATTTAATTATGTAGAGTTGTCAAATGCAGTGGAATTAATAAAATGCACATTTTAGTGCAGTAGCCCAGCATCACTTTAACTTACGCTATTCCGGAGTACAATAAATACCATGTAGCAAATGTCTTAATATGATTCCGATCATGCATCCCTACCATTTGTTCGCTGCCTGATTTATTAGGACTGCTATTGATCAGATTATTTGGGTGGTGATAGTGGTGTGGTTGTGTGTGGTGCTGGTATAATTATCATGTGGTATTGCTGGACTTCATTGGACTATCATGTCAGTGTCGTTGCTAGGTTAAGAGTGGTCTACCATGCAAAAAATATCCAGCCAAGAGCAGCTCTGTGGTCAGAAACCGATCGATGACAGGCTAGAGGAAGACTGACACAAACGGTGCATGGACTAAGTGTGTAATACAGCAGCAGTGGAAAACCATTGATGTTACTCCCTGATTTGAATTCTGTACCATTCTGCAGCTACACAACCTGAATGTTGCTTCTGCATCTCTTTGCAGGGCATCGTGGGTAACCTCTCCAGTGGGAAGTCAGCCCTGGTGCACCGGTACCTGACGGGGACATATGTCCAGGAGGAGTCTCCGGAGGGTGAGTGAGCAGGGAGGGAGGAGAAACAGGTGTGGGTGGTATATAGGGGTCACTCACCTAACGAGATCACCAGCTGGACGGTCGGCTGTTTGTGTGTCTTTTTGCTATATGTGAATACTTGGAGGTGTTTACATTTTCTGGGCAGAACATAAACACTGGGAGGTTTAAATGTTTCATCAGCTGCAGTCAAACCTTTGGAAGAAACCTGTAGGCAAAGCTTGTCTCTGAAAAGATGATATTCTGTGGTTTGAAAAATCATGCAGTACACGCACTGAGACTCAGAGTATGGTGTTTCATTTAAGTCTGTCATAGACTTCTTGCTCACCTGAACCCTGCTTTGTAATATTTTCATCAGAAACTGCATCACCCCATACTCATTCCATTACTTTTACGCTTTTTTTTCTTTCCACTTCATTTAGTTCTTTAGTTTTCACATCCAGCAGCTGCCACAACCACCTAGACTGTTTTGCTCTCCTGACAAAACCCACTTATTTGTTTCTTCAGCTGCTTGCATTTTGTTTGTCCACAAAGACAAGTTGTTTCTGCAGCACTCCGTCAAAGGAGCGTTTTTCTTAAAAGCCGAAGTTCTTAACTTTCTCCCTGTCGTACAGCTGTCGCCATGGAGATTCAGACATCAGTGACGGAGAAGGATTGCTGAGAGGATTCGCCATCATATCGTATCCGACTTCATCTGATAATGAATTTTCAATCATCCGGCACAATATCAACAGTATATTGCCATGATATTGCATCACATTATCAGAAAACTAGAAGTATCGTGTGAAGGTGCTTTTGCTTCAAAAAGGGGTCATACTTCCTTCAAGCAAACTTTTAACATTTGTTGTAATTTAAAGAAATGCACAGCACGATGCAAAAGTCAGAGACGCCCCTTTCATTTATCTAATTTCCAGTTAAAACAGCCATTAAATACAAGTTTTCTGGAGAGATTTCTGAGGAGAGCAGATAGTCCAATTGCTTAAGGATGGCGAAAGGAAAAAAAGTGGTGGGGGGGGACTCCAAAAAGGGACTCCAAACAACCTTGTAAGACCTGATAGACCACCAAAACTGTCACCATCAAATGTAACTGTCACAAAGCTGTACCTGAGAAAATGAATTATACAAAAAGGACATTTGCAAGCCAAAAAAGCTGTTGGTGATCTCAGAACAATGGACTGGCCACCCCAGAGTCCAGACCTCAATATCCTTAAATGTGTTTGGGATTAATTTGGTCATGAGAAGCAAAAAGACTGAACTTCGGAGTAAAAATTTCCTTACAGATACACCTGCAGTTTTTCTTTGTAAAACTGAAAGCAAGTCTCCCAAAAAGAATACTGACTTTTACAGAGTTCTATAAATTCCTAAACAGTTACTTTTAGTTTAGAGAATTTTCACACATAGACAGTTAGTCAAAGCCACAAAAGCCAGACTAAAAATGTTACAATTAGTTAGAATTCAGTCTCAGGCTATGTTTTACGCATAGACATACAGCCATTTGATTGTGAGAAAATCTAGCTGAATCATGCATTCTTCTTGTTCTGAAACTTTGGCAAAGTGCTCACTTTTTAGATTTCATAGTTATCCCACTGATTTAGAGTTTCTTTTGGTATTCTTTGTGCTCACATTTGTTCATTGAGTCTTTGAAAATGAAGGTGTGTTTCGCTTTGGCTTATACCACTACCTCTGAACAATTTCTGTGTTCACACTCTTCAGCTGTGAGCCAGATTGAACTTAAATCTTATGTTTGACCTGTGGGAGTGTTTACCAGTACTCCATGCATTTTCTCTTTTGGATGCTCTCAATTTCACCTCATCTGAGTCTTACAGAGCTTATGATACAAATAAGTGAGCTATACAGCCAAGCCCATTTTTGGATATTTAGGGGAAAAAAAAAGCTCTTTTTTTTGTTCGTCTAAAAAGAAATGAGATTTTTGAAAGGAGTTGCTTGGTTCACCCAGCAGCATACTTGATGCCTGGCTCATCCCTGAATATTTTGAGGTGTTTTTAACACAGTTTTGAGTCGGTTAACAAATGGCTCTGATGTCGTTATTATTATTATGTTTCTGTGGATTTCCCGCTGCGCCAGCAGCGCTCTGATCGGCATGCGGGTAGTTCAGGTAGTTGCCATAGCAACAGAGGGTCAGGCTGGGATTGTGGGTTGTTTTTGCTGTGTCAAGGTCTAAACCGCTGGAGCATGTTATCAATCCTTGGATTTTGCAAGAAAAAGGCAGGAAGGTGGAGTCTTGTAAACAGTGCATTAAGCATTCAGCACCATATAAGCTCAAAGCCATTCAGTCTAATGTTAAGTTGCACTAATTGTCATCATGTAATTATGAAGAAAAACAATGAAACTAAAAGAGAGATTGCTCTGGGGAAATCTTGCCCTTGTTTTAGTTTGTTTGAGTGAATGAGATCCGAATCTCCAGACTTGCTTTCTCCTCAGTCACTGCTGACATGTTGGGACTTGGCCTCTCAGCTAGATGGTAATTATCTGCTGTTATTAAGACATTCTCTGCTCAGTAGTGTACAAGATAGCAATTATGGGAAGCAGCTATGATGACAACAAAAGATGTCTGTGTTCAAAACCAGTGTTTATCACAGAGTCCTTCCTACTCTTTATACTTTATTAATGATACCTAAATGTGACATACAGATTGTCCTGTATCTTATTTAATGCAAACGCCCATCACAGATAATTTAAAAAGAATGAGCTTGAGAACTGAATGCATGATGGCTGTGAGGATATCAGTATGAATAGGAAAGGATTTTGTGTACAGCGTCTAGGACTGAATAGGAGTCCACCTGATTAGGAGGTGTATAGTGTTTTGGACAACAGACAAAGTCTCCAAGCAGCTTTCCAGAATCCAGAGTTAGCCCCCTAATGATCAAGCCAAAGGTGACAGTATCAGGAAATGATATCCGAATCCGAATTTCTTCCTAATGCTCCCTAATTTTGACCGTTCTGGGGAGTGCGAGGATATGTGCATCGTCTAATCATGCCTGTAAGCCATCACTGAATGATTTTAGTATTGTGGTGGGGGCACACTGGTAGACAAACGAGGACCATGATATTGAAGCCAATATCACAAAGTAGTATGTGTATATGCACCACCAGCACACCATCTCACGAGTGTTTTTAGTGCACATTGGAGAGAAATGTGCTATGAATTTTGACTGAAACCAAATATTAACTGTATTAACCTACAGGCTGAAGAGCCTCTTAACTGATATTCACAGAATCTTTCTCTAAAAAAATTAACATGGTCATGCTTCTGGTAAAAAGACTGGTAGACTAAATGTAAACTGTCAAGTTTAATAACTCATACTTTAAAAACCTATAAATCACTGCTGGTCAAAGGTGCTTAGGTGCAACTTGAAACTTGTTTAAAATTGTTTAAGCCTCTGTTTGTGTTTTATGAGAGATGTTGCATGCGATTGAAGAGGGTTGATCTGGACATAGACTACAAAATAAAACAAAGGTAATTAGATGATTAGCTAGACCATGTGAACAGCCGTGTCCGTGCATTTCAGGAGTTTCTGCTCAGCAGTATAAATATCCATTGAAGTCCCTGCTATGTTCAAAGTCATCACTCTTGTCAGTTCTAGGATTCCTCAGGAAACCCACTGAGATTAAACTGACTTCGAGCAAGTGCATGCTTGGATCTGTAGGCACTACGCTTTAAACATTTTGCAACTTAGAATCCTGGCGTGCTAGAGACATTAGAATACGCATGTTCATTATGCATGGTCTTCTGGTGCTGTTTAAATAATGCTAAACGCAGACGTGCTTGTGTGCTTGTGCACTGACCAAATGGAAAAGGATCATGCAGACTGCAGCATTCATTTGCAACTGTTATTGAATCAAGAAATGCCAGAACCCTGGGAAAATATTCGTTATTCTGGTTTTAATTTATTTGAATGACTCAGCTTTAGCCATGACCTTATCTTGTATCAAATTAGCTTTAAGTGATATCAGTTTATGCAGCAAGATCTTACATTTTTGGGAAAACAAAGTATATGTTATTGGCTGCTCATACATTATTATATTGTTAAATCATCTAGTCAGGCCAGGATTTAAATCTTAATTAAATTTGTTTAGGGTTTATATGGTTTTTAATGTTTTTGAGAGTCAATTCAGAAGCCCTTTGCCGTAGGCTTGACTTTTTTTCTTGTAGCACTTTGCTCTGACCAGACAGGTTTCATAATAGTACTTGTTCATCAAGCAATTGATTTATATTCTGAATCTTAACATGAATGAGCATTTTTATTCAGGAATGGAGGAATACTGTTTGATTTGCATGTAAATCATCTATTTACTGATTTGTTAGAACCCCTGTAATTGAAGAACAGTGCCAGGGTTGATCCACTACCCAGGATCTCTGACAGAGAACAAAATTTTATATTTTTATGAGCATGTTGGCCTTTCAAACTGTCTGTTGTTCTTGCAGGGACTCCTGATTGGGGTGCTCACCCCAATTCTGGCCACATACAGATCTATCATCATGGATGTTTCCAGAATGTTGTGGCAATTGCATCAGATATTCCTCTAGAATATCAATTGTTTAGTCATTCAGCCTTGCTTTTTAGAAGAAAGAAATAATGGCACAGTTAAAACCACAGAGCTATGAATGTTAGTCAAACTGCTCCACAGACCCTTGGAAACGTACTTCACACGAGCACCCAAATGCTTCAGGCTATACTAGTACGGTTTTGTGTGTTGGTGCATTCTAAAATGTATCACAACGCAGTTCATAATGCAATGCAAGCTGCAATTTTAGCATTACAGCATGGAGTGCTATAGTGACAGCCAAGCCTGACCAATGCCATCTTGTACCACCAACATGCAAGGTAGACCAACTGTCAAAGTTTGGAATCACTTGACATGTAAATAAATGCTATTCAGTCATGAGTTGTACCGTCGATAACTTCTATAAAACGACATCAAAACGTAAAGCAATTTACTATATTTGCAGTTTTAAGTAGTTTTGAAATAATGCGATGCCATGACATGGTAAATAGATAAATAATTTATTTATAGCAATTTCTTACTTTCTAACAAGTTATTGTGAATAGCTAGATTTGGATTTGGTCACTGCTTTTCAAATACGGGGCATCCTGAATATTAATTTTATTAAATAATTAAGTTCATTCTTGATGCTGTGCAGCTTCCTCAGTTCTTATGAAATCATTTATAGCTTCCTACAAATTGTTTGAAACCTCTAGAATTTTAGCATCATATTCAAATCATTTTATAAATGAATCTGCAACAAATTGATTATTTGCTATTAAAAACAGTGGTGGCACACTTTTGAATGGTGATTCCAAACTTTTAAACGCTAGTGTCTGATGTTTAAAACTGTGTATAATATGTCATCACATCTTCATTCCAGTAGAACACAGCTGACACGTTTTGATTTGCAGCTGTTGGAATAACAGTAAATCCCATTAACAGATGCTTTGATTTGTCATATATCGCCCCCTTGAGTACTTTAGTGTTTTAACCATCACAGTAACATAAGAATGCATATTACTTTTAAAATGTGTTGGCTGGGTGTTCTCATTTATGTTTGCATGCTTGCATTCAGTTAGTCTGGACTAGGCTAGAGCAGTGTTTCCCAAACCTGGTGTTAGAGGCCCACTGCCCTTTTACTGTTTTCTATATTGCTATACTCGATCCAACTGATCATTAACATTAACAACCCCCTTACTGTGAGCATGTTAAATCAGGAAAAGCACTAATATGTGCAGGATACTGGACCTCTGTGAGTTGGGAAACACTGGGCTAGAGTACACTGCCAAGTAAAGAATCGCAAACATCTCAAAACCACCTTGTCAAGTAGTGTTTATATATGTACTCATTGTCGTTCAGCTGTAGTGCTGCGTATTTTGACTGATGCCAATGCCTGGTGTCTTTTAATAAAAAAGGATCCTGAGCTGGTAAGACTTGTAATTAATAGTGTAAATGTCCCAAACTGTAAACAAAAACAAAAAAACATTTGTTTAAACAGGCAACAAAAAATAAAATAAAATAAAATTTTACTTTGCAATGACAGTGTATTCAGACAAACCTGTATAACAAACAGCGTATAGTAAGATGAAAAGAAAATATTCTACAGAATGTCCACAGTACTTCAGGTGCTTCGGTTAATTGACAGTGGAGATATCTCAAAAATTGAAAGCTTAGCTAATGATGATGAGGTTGAAGATGTAGAGAGTTCTAGACTCTTGGGACTCTTACAGATGGTTTTTCAAGGGTTATAGCAATCTGAACATAAATATACAGTAGTATACAGTATCTCATATGAACAGTATACAGTTACAGATAGGGATAAAAAATAAGTGAAGCACTTAAGCTACTGTTTAAAATGCAGTACTTCAACATAAGTAAAGTTTAGTGTTTTTAAAGTTCTTAATTAGGTAATCACATTAGAAAGTTGGACATCATGCATAGTACTTTTAGTTTACGGTCCAAGCTTATGTTCCACAAATGAAAAAACAAATAAAATAATTCTGTTTTTTTTAGCATTACTTCACAGCTGTTAAGACTGACTGTCCACTGCAATGGACATTTTTGAAAAAATAATTCAATTGGGGTTGTTTGTTAATTTTACTAAGCCTTGTTTTTGAGTGTATTCTGGCCTAGAAAACAATATTCATGTATTGTTTCATCACTGGAACATAGTTTAGGTGTGAAAGGGTTATAACAAATGTTGCTGCTCTTCTTGTCCATTTTCCTTTGAGGTGGTATTACTAAAGGACAAAATATATTACATGAGCTTTAATAGGGAGTCACTCAGGAGAGCGAAAAAGGGGATGTGCATAGAAAATCAAACATCATGCAAACACATTTCATCTTCTATTGGCCATGAACTGGAAAGTATTTTGGAAAAGGTTCCCTTTTCCTGTTTCTATTCCCTTTTATCATCTGCTTGGCTTTCTCTCAGAGTCCTCTGCAAGAAATGATATCTTAGCAAGTGAAATCATCTTAAATCAAGTCGATGTGTGTGATGTTTCCCATTTTGAGATGATGTTAGAATATTTTAGATTATTATAAGATTATTTAATTTACTCCTTTGCAAGTTTTACTTTTTAAGGCTTTTTTTTCTGTTGGAAGATAATTTTACTTCAAGCATTATTTCCTTAAACTAGCAAGATTATCTTATATGAAATTAAACATTTAGAAATAAGAAATAATTTTGTGATATGCTTACAACAATCTCAAAATTAGTTACATTGACTAGAGTTAAGATGGTTTCACTTGCCAAGATCATTTTTGCAGTGTGGAAGAGATTTCTTCTTTTCTTCATGGCAGAGATGACCATGAGCTTCATAACTGTGGGAAGGCTGATGCAATGATGTGCTGGATCAGCACATATCTGTTTGCTTAGCAATAATGTGTTTAGCCTACAAATTAAAGGAGTGTTAAATGTATTTTGATAAAGACTCAATGATGACCTTCTTCATTTCACTTCTCATCTGAAGTGCGTTTTCATTTCTCATGATTTCAGAGATACATACAGTCCTTGCTCCTGAAATCAAATGTTTAATGGACTGGTCATTAACCAAAGCAATTTTGCTTTGATACAGGAGGCCGGTTTAAAAAGGAAATTGTGGTGGATGGACAGAGTTATCTCCTGCTGATCAGAGATGAGGGAGGACCCCCTGAGCTTCAGGTATGGCTACAATACGTGGGTCAGTTCAGTCTTCTTAAAACCACTGTAGGTCATCTTAGAATGATTCAGAGTATCATTTAAAAATTGGTATGATTGGATTGTACATTGTAGCTTCACACTGAATACGTTAAATGTAAAGCACATGTGCCAGACTCCAGTCATGGAAGGCTACAGCACTGCCAATTTCAGCCTGAGTCAACTCATAAGCTAATTAGCAAAGCCTTCATGAGCTGTATTCAGAGCATCAGAAGAGGGAAAATGCTAATCTTTGCAGAGCTGTGGCCCAGAAGGAACTCAGTTTGACATACCTGGTCTAAACACATTAAAATTATTTTAGATTCATTTGGGTTTCACATTTTTTTTTTTTTTGCTTCTTTGCAAATATTGATGCAAATCTGATCAGGTTAAAGTAACAAACATAAAACAAATTTGGTTTGTAAATTCAAATATAACCTTAGAGAGACGCTTATATATACTAAGGCAAAATGTGTCACTTATGCATGAGATACGAATCTGAGAATAAAAAAGTAGTAAAGTTTTTTTAAGACAGCCATTTACAAGGCCTTGGTAGAGTGTTTATTAGGAGGAATGCCATTAAAGCCTTCTAATGCAGTGCAACGCTAATTGCTTTCCCTGCTAAATGCTCTCGGTGAAAGCGAGGGTGTCTGAAAACTGCAAAAAGTGCATTGAATTCAAATTACTGCTGGGAGGCTCTTGAGCGTGTCTCCCAGTCCTCATTTGTAGTTGGCAGTGATGGCAGCAAACAGAATGGCCCCACCAAGCCATGATAGATATCTCTCACACACTCACTATAGCTGTCCTATGGGGCCAGTGTCAGTGTGGCCCCAGTTTTCACAGCCTTCTACATCCTGTCATAATTATGGGCTGATGGGGCTCCAGACGGCTTCCAGCGTCATATACTCGCTTTCTGTGCAGCGGTAAGGGACACGCTGATGGAAACTTTCCTAGTAGTGTTGCTCCTGGTGGACTAGTTGGGGTGATTTACCTTCTGCTTACTGCTAGCCATTCTTCCATTATTGTAGCATTATAGTAACAAATGGTAAGATTAAAGTGGAATTCATTCAAAAAGATGACACAATAGGCTTAGAAGCAGCCAAATAGAGGTCCTCTACGCCCAAAGGAATTCATAGCAGGTCAAGTATGGCACGCAAGTAAAAACCTAAAGCAGGTCAAGTATGGTACATGAGTAAAAACCTATGCTTGTGAGTCATGATACTCTTGAGTGGCAAAGTTCAGAATTGATGTTTAGCCACAGCCTCAGATCATTTCTGAACTTTGCCATGAGCTGTTAGATGCCCTCATGCAACACGGCTGATGTTAGTCCAGAACGGTTGGATTTTAGGTTTTTTGAACCACGTCATGTCTTTACACATTAAGATCACACGCACAGACTCAAAAAGAGGCTCGATGTTTAGCTCTTGAATGTAAAATCAACATTGAACTGATGAAGATATGATGACAATAGTATATCATTCACTAACATCCTCAGAAGACACGTTGACCAAGTTTTGAGAGTTTTCTCAAACATCAGATGCATGGGGGTCTGAAGCACAACCAATGTTACAAAAATTTAATTACGCACAGCCTGTGCAGTTACACATTTCCACCATAGAGGTCTCCATGTCCCAAATCTCACATAGTGCATTTACTTAAGACAGCGAGATGATTAAGGTAAACAAAATAATGGCTAAGTTAAAACTGCACTATCATTAGCATTGTCACTGACTTTAAAATACAATAATACAAATAAATATTTCAAGAATCAAAAGAACCCTTTTCCACAGGATATGATAACATTTTTACCAACATGGCAGTTCATGTAGGATTAATAACCCAAGGTTACTTCTACAGTTTTAACCGTATACCGGAATCTTTACTAGCACAGAAGCGCACAGTCCATAAGAATTACCCCACATCCTAATGTAAAGCTAAACCCATGTGAATAATACTTAAGTGTTGTGTAAATTAACAACAATTCCACTTGATTAAGATTCTTTAGGAGACTTTTCAGTGCATCATGAAATCTCAGATTTCACCATGGTTGGATTAGATTGTTTTAGTAAAATCTAAATTCATTCAGTGATCCTGGCTGAAATATCTGTGGTTTCAGTGACACATCATTAGAATTTCTGTGATTTCCATTGCTTATATAAAAATAATCTCATATAATGAAATCTTAGGGCATTATAATGCTCACAGCTCCAGATTGATTCTGAAATGAGTTGTAAGTATTGGATTGCAAGCAGTTGTGCTGTTCTTGGGCATCTTAGTACTTAGTACTAGTATCTGTAAGTACTCTCCTCCAAACAATTACTGCCAGTGACTAGCTCGAAAGAAAGAATGAAAAAGAGACAACTCACCTCACACAACCCCAAGAAAGTGAGTGTGACTCAGATTTATGGTGGTGTGATTTGGACAGAGATATCAAGGGCTATAGAGCTGGTAGTGCGTGAATTTGGTAAAAAACTAAAAACACATAATTAATTGTGGAAATGTGATGACTCACTTTGTTGCTTTTTTGCTCAGTTTGCAGCCTGGGTGGATGCAGTGGTGTTTGTCTTCAGCTTGGAGGATGAGATCAGTTTCCAGACAGTCTATAACTACTTCTTGCGGCTGTCCAGCTACAGGAACACAGCAGAGGTGCCCATGGTGTTGGTAGGGACACAGGGTGAGTCACAGCATTGCCAGTTCTGCTTCTTTCATTAAAACACTTCAACCACTGCTGGCTCTGGCTCTCATTACAGCTCAACAAACACTGCTCTATAAACACCTTCTTTTATTACTTTTATACAATTACCACCTACCTTTTCTGTTTCTCTGCTACACAACAATGTCTCCAACAAATGTCTCACAACACTGCCAATTACATGTTACATTGTATATACACATCCCTTCAGCCATTTCTTGTTTCACTATTAAAAACCTCTGTGTATTACTCATACAGTACTGTGCAAAAGTAAGGAACCATCACTATTTAATTTACAGTCAAAACAGCCATAAAGTAAAAGTTACTTGTTTTTTTAACAGCTAAATATAGTACCCTTTTTCAGTATTTAGTGTGTCCATTCATTGCTTTTATTACAGCTACCATTTTGTTCAGGAGACTTGCTTTCAGTTTTTCACAGTTTTTTTCTGCAGGGAGATTTTTCACACCTTCAAAGTTCAGTCTTTGTTGCATTTTTTGCTTCTCATGATCCAAGTAATCCCAAACCTATTCAGTGATGCTGAGGTCTTTTTCTCCTTTTCTCGGTAACTGCTTCTTGACAGCTGCACATGCTTTCAGACCAATAGAATGGAGTTGTGTTCTCACAGGAGAAGAATGGACAGAAACACCTGTGGATTTTTTTGTGAAGATGTGAAGCAAAAGTGGAGATTAATTTTCTCCTCTCTCTCAAATATGAAAGCTTTAAAGAGTAACTACACCCCACTATTTTCAGCTAATCTCACCCCTGGCTCAACTTTGAAACATTCTCAAAAATGGGAGGGGCACTTTGGGAGGGGCACTGCAGTGATCTACGAGTTTGGAGGTGGGGCTGTGAGGGAAACCGGAAACCTTGTGAGGTGGTGCGGGGGTATTTAGCTCAGCGCTTGAGTGTAGTTATCTCCTCACTCTAGGCTCCTATACTTTCATATTTATGAGTGCTGCATGAGTAGGGCGTCACTGGGGTGGTAACGTTGTTTGACTGATTTGCGTATTTTATTATTACAGAGCAGTGCAACATTTCAGCTGTTAATCAAAAAAAGTACTGTTTATCTGATGATGACTGTGTTGATGTTCTACCAGGGCTTGCATATTTGTTAGGAGTCTCATTTTCTCTGTCTTTTGGTCCTTTTTAACTAAGTTTTGGGAAACTCCTGTTCCTTTGACTTTATGTTTCATAATGCAAGCGGATTATCTTATATCTAATTTTCTTAAAAATATCTGAAAATATGTGACTTAATGGCTGTTTTGGCCCTAAATTAAATAAATGAAGGGTTGAATCTGTATACTCTGTATACTCATATGCTTCAACTCTTTTCACTATTATACTTACACACGCATCAGTATCTCTGTCTGGCATTTTAACACCTTTACAGTGATGCAGAGTGTCTCATGAGTCTTCATGCTTCATATTTCTCTTTTTCATTGCCTCAACCAACACCTGACAAAGTAGCAAGTGTGCTGCATATAAATATGTTCAAGAAATGGGATACTTGCCTTAATGTTTTATTGAAGTACACTCCCACTCCAGGTTTTGAGTAGACTTGTAGGATATTACTACAGTGCACAGTGTTATAGTATACAAAACATCAGCATCAGGTTGTGTTTAAGACATTTTTCTCTAAATCTTGGATTCCTCATCATAGACCATATTGAAATCTTTGATGATCAAAGATATTTAAAGAGTAGACAATCATAGAAAAGCTGGTTTCAAGCAAATGTACCTGACATTTTAACCATTTAACATATTGAGAGCAGCACTGTACTGTAGAGTTCCTCACATGCTGTTGTCTTTCCACTCCCAAGATGCCATCAGTGCCACCAACCCACGAGTAATTGATGACGCTCGCGCTCGTAAGTTGTCCAATGACCTGAAGCGCTCCACCTATTACGAGACCTGCTCCACCTACGGCCTCAATGTGGAGAGAGTCTTCCAGGATGGTGAGATGGCAAATACTGTTTCCAAAGCTCATAGCAAATATGTTTTCTTAGACTGCATGATGGGTTTTTGCATACTGTTTTGAGCATTTAGTTAGTGCTTGAAGGATGAGGGGTTTTGAGTACCTGTACCCTGTCACTGGTTGACTTGGAATACATAGAATTTGGGGTGAATAGACATTGATTTTAACCTCTAAACAGTGGTACAGTTTCTGTTGCCTAATTGCCTCCATTTGACCATCTATAGTAAGCTTACTGGCCTCTCTAATTTGTAGCTCAAGCAGTGACTCTACTGTGTCTGATACACTCATACCAGCACCACACACACTACCATGTTAGTGTCATTGCTGTGCTGAGAATGGTCAACCACATATTGTCTGCACAAGCCATGATTCTCAAACCTACCTTTTCAAATGCCAATGTTAGTTGAAATGTACATCCCTAATAAGAAGTGAAACATCTTAGTTAAAAGGAGAACGTATTGCAGTATTGACTGCAGATGATAAGATGCCATGTTAAACCAAACAGGAACTTGAGTGCTTTAGTATCTGAGCTGAGGAACTGAGCACGTATTATGCTCATGGGAGGCAGCAGTGTCAAAGTCTTGGACGGACAGAGAACCTCGACCAAAAGCCGCTAAAGCCACTTTACACCACTCCACTTTCACTCTGCACCACTCACATGCTCTGGCTAGGCTAGTGACTTAAAAAAAAGAAAGAGCTGTGGGAGATATAGCCAGTGCCTTCTCAATAGGTCACTAAATGACTGACGTCAGGTATCATTGTGCAAGTTTGTGCTGAGCAGAAAACACTGGCTTGAGATTTCTTTGCACTTTCTTTGCATGTGTGAGCCTGAGAGAAGAGCCAAAAACGTGAGAGACAACACTACATTATGAAAAAATATGGGCGAATATTAAACAAACTTGATAGCACTCCCATTCCACCAGTACTTAAATACAGTTGAAGTAATAATTCAAAAGGTTAGCATGTTAAAAATGTAAGGTTCCTCTACGCTTATGAGGCCTAGGCTGGAGCCTATATAGAGTATAGAGTTAATGGACTGATATGCTAGGTGGACCTTAAAGTGGCCAGTGAGTGGAAGGACAAGGTAGGGATTTTTAATAAAGTCAACAATGAGGTAGGCTAGTGACAGTATGAGTGTCAGGTGATGGACAAAGTAATAACTGATGTACTCTGTGATAGGCTCCAGATAGTTGTCCTCTGGACTGAATGGAGTGGTTAAACAGGATTTGAACAATTTCTACAGTATTGGGTGGGGTGGTACAAGCCCATAATCTGAGAACTTGGCCATGGACCTGTACAGTACAGACTCCGTCTCAAATAAAATTACCCTGCTACTGCATCAGAGCACTTGAACTGAACCTAAGGATGCACTGGGACCGTAACTACAATCTTCAATTTAGAATCCTCTAGAATCTTTCAAATGGCAGCTTTGAGCAAACGCATCAGCTAAATGACATATTCCATGATAATACACTTCTCTACTAATCAAGACCTAGGCACCTGCTAGGCACTGCTTTAGGATCAGTTTTACCTCTCATGTACCTGGTAATTTGGTTTAATGGCCAGGAAGGAGCTGATCCTAGATGAGCACTCTCACTCTAGAACACTTAATGCCCGTGAGCCCAGCTTTTGTATTAGCTGGGTGGAAACCAGCTGAAGTTTTTATTGCTCCTTATCGCCACAGTGCTTTTTCACTCCAAGCTGTCCAATCTCTTCACGATGGCTTCCTCTCCACACACTGTTTATTGCCGAGACTGCGATGCCCGGCATTCTCGCCGGCGCTTAATTGCTTCCTCAGGCTGTATTTGAAATAATTAAAAGATGTGTTTTGTTGTCTATTCGACACTCTGGGGCATTCAGACAGCAGCCTCCGCTCTCTCACCAAGTTCTCTCACTTTTATTTCTTCCTCACTCTTTCCCCTTCTCTCCCGTTCCCTTCCGATCCGCAGTACTTGCTATCTTGCTTCCCCCCCACCACCTCATTCTGTTTCTCAGTTTTTCACTGTATTATTCTTCTTCGGAACCTCTAAAAGCTGGTGACGCAAAAGTCGTTCCTTCTCTTCTCTCATGTGTTCACAGTCGTTTATCCTCATCCTCCTGTCTGTCTGTCTGTCCCTTTCTTTGTCTCTTTCTCTTTTCCTTGTTCTTTTTCTCTCCTCTCGCCCCAAAACTTATGTAGTTTGGGAGTAATCCGGAGGGAAGCGACAGGCCACTCTGTCTGCATGATAAATGAGCTTTCAGCGAACAACTCGTTTTAATGAGTGTAGCGCCACAGGAGCTCCCGGCTTTAAGGTGGCATTTACATAACTGCGCAGAGCAGAGAGCCACCCGCCATCTCCCTAGAGGAAGCCACGGATTCACTGAGCTCCCCGTTTGGTTTTTTTCCTCAACAGTTCTAATAGCTGATGATGGTTAATTACAGCAAATGCTGCACATTATGTCAGAGGATTAGCTTCTTCAGGACTGGTGCTTGATACAGCTTTGTGTTTTGCATGCTGCAGTGTACGTTACACTGTTTGGTTAATGGGTGTAATGTTATGATCTGTGAGGTTAGTACACCCCCTGGTGGGTGGTTTGATCTTAGCAGTACGCCACCCTGTACCCATCTAGGGCCAGTTTTTTCCTCCCATGTTATGATGAAAACTTGCCAACAGCTCCCTCAAATGACTTAATTAATTCAACACTGTAAAATCCTATAGCATAAATTGATCATTAAGAAAATTAATGGTAGGGGATGTTTCAAACGCAATCCCCAAGACATTCCTCCCCTGAGATCATAATGAGCATGCGTTAATAAATTAAAAAACACACTGATAAATTACTGAACCAATTCAGTTCAGTCGTGCTTTTTACAGCCAAAGTCAACCTGAAGCAGCTTTCCAGAAATTCAGAAACACTGAGAGAGACTAAGTCTCAAAAGGAGAGTCATCCTCCTCAGATGAGTACAGTTAGTCTAGAGGTAACTGTGGGAATCAGATCATACGGAGGAAAGATCAGTGAGACAAGCCGGTGACCAATGACAGGAGTGCAGTTTCAAGAAGCAGAAGTTCATGTCAACACTCAAGAACGTCATAATTGCGAATCATGATGGGAGTTCAAGAAAGATATGATTGATAGGCTATGTCTTGATGTCTCAGTCTCCCTGGATATTCCTAGAATGTACTTATGGGAACAATCACCAGCCAGTGACAGTGTGTACACCCTAATTTCACGCTCGCCTGTGTGTCTGCAGTCGCTCAAAAGGTGGTGGCGCTGAGGAAGAAGCAGCAGTTGGCCATCGGGCCTTGCAAATCCCTGCCCAACTCACCCAGCCACTCGTCTGTCCCCGCTGCAGCCATCCCCGCTGTACACATCAATCAGGTGAGTTTCTACCCTCATTTGACCCCTAATCCCAAGTGGAGGCATCCCTGAACACTGCAAACACTGTTTCTCATTTTGAGATTTTTTAAGAATATTACAAGATTATTAAAAAAAATATTTCTGTACAACATTTTACTTGATTTAAGTAATTTTTATGATGTGAAATCTCATTTTATTGTAATTTTCTTTAGGAAAAAACCTTAGCGAGAGAATTTCACTTAAACAGGTAAATGTCATAAAATAAGTTAAATAATCTTATAATAATTTTACAATAATGTCAAAATGAGAAATATTAGATATATCAACTATATATCTTTTCAAGACATGCTTTTTTGCAGTGAAGCAGCTCTGTACTGTGAGGAAAGGTCTATTGTGAGTACATGAACTGAGAGCTACAGTGTGTTGTGGAAGCTGAAATGTTAGCCTTGGCTTTTTCCCTGTTTTATTTGCTTCCTCTGTGTCAGGGGTGTTCAACTCTGATCCAGAGTCAGGTCCATTTCTCTGCTTTGACCAGGAAAATTACTAAACAGTGCTGGAACTCAGTGCCCCAGGATGGTGAAATACACCTGCTCTGTGTTTACTGTAGTTATGAAAATTCAACTACAAACATCTTGAAAATTTCTGTCTTTCTTCATTCAGGTGGAAATTAAAGTAAAACAGTTGTATAGTAAATGTTTCCAATAGCACAACTCCTTATACACATTACCTTCACAAACCAAGAAACAAATATACCTGAGGTTTCAGATTATACAATAGTGTAAAATTTGAAGGTTGCAAGCTCCATGCAGTGTAACTTCTGTGCAGCTTAAAAATTACACAAACAATTCAAAACTAATTGACATTTGATTAGTAGGTTTGATTTTTCAGATATTTTGTTGTATCTGGCTATTAAAAGTGACCGGTGATGTGCTATTTTGCGTATATTTGCATCACAAGTGTCGAGAAAGGGAAAACTATTAACCTAAATACTTAATGTCAATAGGCAACAGCAGGCTAACAGGGCTAAACAAATTGTTGCTGTCAGGACAAAACCTTGTATCTCCATTTTTGTCATTTTTTATTTTTTGACATTATATGAAATAGGCAGTTGCCCTTTATGTTGTGTCAATTTCATGATGACCAGACCAACAGAAAAGGTTCATAATTACTTTGGGAAAAATATTTCTACATTTACTTCCATTAAAAGTTAAGAACGTTTTTCTTTTTCCTATAAAGTTACTTTTTTGGAGATGCGACTTTTTTGTTCCGACAGCAGTGAAATCAGCTGTTCGAACAGCAGCTTGTGCCAGCATAAGTTAATGTTAACAACAGTGTTAGCTGGCTAGTTAACAAGTTTATTAAGCTAACTGGTTTCCAGCAAATTAGCAGCATTATTCCAATATATCCTGTGTTTTATTTTCTTGTACATAAGATGTTTGACATGTTCATATAGAAGAGTCTGCAAAAGTTAAAACATTATTAAAGGATAAAGAGAAATTTGGAGTTGGTATACCACCAAAACTGTCGCCATCAGATAAACAGCATTTAAAGCCTACAGCTCTGTCAGAGAAGAAAAGCAAGTTCCAATTTTGCTTCAGATGTGAACAAAAAAAATTCTTTCTGTCCAGACTTCCACAACTCACCATGGGTCTGAAAGGATTTGTTGCTGTACTGAATGCTGAAAATGCTGAAAATTTTGAAACATTTTATTGTTGAGGCTTGTGTGTAATTTCCTGTTAAATATATCGTCGCTGTCCAAAAAAAAAAATCTCAAAATTGGCAACATTACAGGAGAAGGCAAAATGTTTTTAACCTTTAAGTTAATATAATGAGATTTTATTTCAGCCAATTTTAGAGAATTTCTTTTGGTCCATTTATCATGAAATTCTCCCACAATATAAAGGGCTGTCCTCAGTTGATGTAGAATTTTTTTTACTGGCGCTGATAAATGAGCAAGGAAATTAAATAAATTATAAGTGGTCTCTGACTGTTTCACAGTGCTGTTATTTCAAAGCAGTTGAACTGTGAAGGTTTTGCTAAGTGAAGCCAACCTGTAACGATTTTTTCATTTGTTAAAATTGAGTCATTTTATACACAGTATAGTGGTTTTTGCTAAATCGATTAAAATTCTTACAGACTGCTGGGTAACTGGTCATCCACCCCTAAATTACCATTGCTTCCTGATCTTATATACGGATGTATTTCTCTCTCTCATCTTGTCTGCCACTCTCTCATTGCATCTGTCTTTCTCTGTCTCTCGTTCTTTCTTTTTATTTCTCTTTACCCATTTCTTTCTCTTTCTGCTGTCTTTATTTTTTGGCCTTTCACTCTCATGTTGGCCCATCCCTCGCTCGATCTCTCTTTTTCTCTGTTCCTGCTATCTCTTTCTCTATTTCTCTCTCTCTCTCTCTTTCTTTCTTTCTCTCTTTCTTTTTCTCATCTCCTGCCTTTTCCAGGCTGCTAATGGAGGGGGTGCGTTCAGTGACTATTCCTCCTCCGTGCCCTCCACTCCCAGCATAAGTCAGCGGGAGATGCGCATAGAGACCATCGCTGCCTCCAACACGCCTACACCCATCCGCAAGCAGTCCAAGCGCCGCTCCAACATCTTCACAGTAAGTATGCGGCAGCTGATGCAGAGCACCACGCATTCGCACTACTGAGAGAGAGAGAGAGCTCCTCCTAACTGCAGGCCTCCGGACAGCTCGGTGCCTTTAAGGCGATTCTTTTTAAACAAATCAGTGATGGCAGAAAAGCTGTTTCTAGATCTGCAGTTAGAGGACACTGCTCCTAGCCCTCTTCTCCACCCAGGCAGCGCTATATCAGCTTCCAAACACCTGAGGGAGCAGCTGAGCTCAGTCTTACCAAAGCCCTCTATATCTGCCCGCAGAAGCACATAAAAGCAAGCTTTCCACAGCAAAACATCATAATGAATAAGGAAAGGCTAGAGCTGATTATTTCAAATGAGGGAAAGGGCAAATGTTTTAATTATCACATCATAAATGCTTTTTTTTCTTCCTTATTTTCCTTTCCCTGGAGCTCATGTTTTTTTCTAATGTAAATTTCTAAGCTTTACATCAAGGGAAGAGTTCTTAGCTTTTTAATCTCTTTGAAATGTGCATGTTGCTCCCCCCAGTTCCTCTTTTTTAAGAGAGCATCTGTTCATCTTTCACTTTTGCCCTCCCTTCTGTCACTGCGTCAACTCGACAAACCCCAAGCCCCTCCCCCCTTCTCTTCTCACTTTAACAGACGTTCGCCTAGCGAGGCTTTCCACTGGAGCAAGAGCTACACACACGTTACTAGCACCACCACCACTCCCCTCCACCCCCCATCCTCCAGCCTAACCAATCAAGACCACCCTGGTTTATTCAGCCCACAGCTGCAAGTCTGTTAATCAGCCCCGGCCCGTTTCTGGTTGTCAGGTTAAGCCCCGCCCATACCTACACAACACCCCCACCCAATCAGAAGGCCCCTGGAAGATGATTGGCAGCAGTGGCGGCTGTTGTGCTAGCTCCCCTTGTCCTGTTTCTCCCTCCCTCCCTGATAGGTAGTGTCAAACCCCCTCCATGCGGGCCACGAGCCGCTGCCGGTGCGCGTGACGGAGCAGAAGCACGCCACTTACCCCGTCTGGGTGCCGGAGTGGCAGAGTGAGCGCGAGTTCCAACTAATGACCTTCTGAGGACCAGCCAGCCGGACAGGGGAGGGAGGGAGGGGAAGGACGAGGTGTCGGGGGGGGGAAAGGAGGCTCCTTAACGATCTCCAACCTCAAATAGAAAGAGATTCCACCTGATCAAGGCAACCGGAGAAGATGTAACTTACACACGCAAGAAAACCACCTGAGAGAGCCGGTCCACCTACCAGCTGTCTCCACCGTCCACGACCATCCTTGGTGTGACTGGCGACCGGGCATCACAGGGAGATTTCCACACACCCCATGAGTTTTGGCTGTGGGCTTTATTGGGGAAAATCAACCATTCCGTCATGCTACCTTTTCATTCATTACTTTGCACAGCTTTTTTTTTCTTTTGTTTTATTTATTTATATATTTATTTTAAAGGTCTTACGTTCGCTGTTCTTTCACAGCTGCACTTAAAGAGTGGCCTTACAGTCTCTTAGAGTACTTTTGTATTAATAATTGAAGAATGAATAAGCAAAACAGCTTGTATATTATCATTTATCAAACTTGTTATAAATGAATCTTGTTTTTCATTGTCGGAACTATTTGGGCAAAGCAAAATAGTCCAAAAGGACACAAAATTGGATAATGCATCAATCAAATTGCATCAATTCCAAAACATTTGGCATTTGCATACGTTTTTGTGACAAAACATTGGGCTGAAGTTAAAACTGGATGGACACTTACCTGGATCCAATTAGTGTGAGGTTTTAGCATATTTCAAATTGTGATATAAAGGCCTAGTCACGCATCTGTATGGGTACTGACTAGAAGCAAAATAGGTTTGCAGTCATTTTTAAAAAGAGACTCACTTTCTAGGTCAATTTTAGATGCTTCTGCCCACACTACAAGCATAAAAGGACAATACATTGATTTAGAAAAGAGATGCATTTCTGTTACTCCTCCTCCATTATAGGCCTGGCCATTTGGCAGCATTAATTCCATTGGTCACTTGTGCGTGCATGTGTGGTGTTTGTTCTGCCACTAGATGTCAGCAGAGGACAGGAAACCAATAGTCACGCAGTGCTTCCATGGTACTTAAAGGAACCACACCAATACGTTCCTCATTGGTACAACGTGCTGTCAGCTAACTTCATGTCTTTTTGTCTCGTGAGCTGTAATCTGTGTGTCAATGTACGAGAAGAGGGAAGGGGTTCTCACACATTTTTTAGTTTCTTTTGCCATTTATCTTCTGTCATTTTACTCCTCAAGCCAGTACCTGCCTCTCATCCTGTCATCTCACTCGTTCATGCTGCTCCCGTCCCTGCCCCACCCTTCATTTGTGATCTTTAGTTTCCCTTCCGGTCCTTAAGAAAAGAAAGCTCAATCTCTGTCCCATGACCAAAGTGTTGAACTGTTTCTGTCGATATTTGCAGATTTGTTCATCTGTTTCCAACCTTTCTTCAACAAAAAGGGCTCTCCAGCTGCTTCTGAATTAGACGAGCCCTTTGGCGGCGTGACGGCAGTGGAGGCCCCTAGAGTTCGGGGCACCTCCCTCTGAGAGCCTCCAAGAGGAGCTATAAGTGTGGGGGCTCTCAAAGTCCAACACATCCACATACACATACATGCATACAAGCCACGCCAAGCATGCTGCTTTACCCCTAGTGCCCATAAACTCCTTCCCCCACAACTTCCCCAAGCACTATGGGTAATGCAGTATGGCTTTCTTGGACATGTCCCATGCCAGCACTGTCAAAGCTCTTGCTTAAGGACACTGTTGAAGAAATGAAAACAGAAAGGAAAACAAAACATGAACCTAACTAACTCAAATTCCATTGAACTGATTTGGTGTCATTGGACTGTTTGAGGTTTCCCCTTATACTCAACCACATTGGACTACAGCCATCAGCATCCCCTTTTCTTTCCCTTCTCGTGCAAAACGCTTCGGCCTCCCCCGCTCCCCCGCCCCCTTGGACACTTTTTACTCACCCGTGAGGACTGAACTCCGATGTGACATCGCATTGCCTTTTTTTGCCACAAGCGAGGACCCTAAAGATGTGCCAAGACACTCTGTGTTTGTTTCGTTTCCTTTCCTTTTCTTTTCTGCTCTCTCTTTTCTCTATCCCTTTTTTTGTCTCTGTTTTGAGCCGTTTCATTTTCTTTGTGTATCAAAAAGGACACAAAACTTGGATAAAATCTTAGATGACGGAAAATAGCTAGACAAATGTTTCATATTCCTCTTTAAGTGCCATGAACGAAGCCCTCTTGCGAGCGCAGGCCAGATAACGCCTTGGTTAACAAGGCCACGGCTTTGTGAGACACAGCGTGCGCAAAACTGACGCTCTCAAGCAGCATAACAACAGAGCTCGACATGATGTTGTGCATCTGCAAGGGTCGCATAGCTCGCTCGGTCAGGTCAAATGATATGCCAACTTTGATAAATGCGTTCTTGTTCACGTCGTTATGTGCTCTTTATAGAGCTGCTGAGTTTTGTTGATCCAGGTGCTCTGGCCTCTCTCAGGCTTCGTTCATTCGCTCTTGAGGAGAAGTGTGAATCTCTTTATGAAGGCCTTCATAAACATAGAGAAGTGTGGGAGGGGGATTGAAAAAACACCGCTTGGAAATCATGGATTGCACAGACTTGTATGAATGTAGTGTCTATTTGTTCCACAGTACGATTGTTTTTTTTATTTTGTGGGTTTTTTTGTTCTGTTTTTTCTTTTGATTTGGATTTTGTTGATTTATTACTCGTTTGCTCACAAAGCTGTGGAAGGACAAACTGTTACAGAGTCATTTTTATGACTATGGAAATAATGGACACATATAGACTGCCATATATCTTGTAATGAACTTTTATTTACAATGGTATTCAATAGAAAGTATATTCTATAGATATATGAGATCTCTAAAAACAGCGCCTCTGTTGTCCTCTGTTCCTTCGTCGGAACTGCAATGTGTGGCTCGGCCTGCTGATTCTTTCCAAGTGAACCTGTGACTTGATTTGTATGGTGTCTGTATATATATATATATAAATATATATATAAAAAGAAAAAATAAAATGTTGAAAAATAAATTCACAGGAGTGTGTCTGTTTTAAGTCATACCCGCTGTTCATCTCTTATCCATATGCAAATGAGAGCGTCCCTCATCTTGTTTTGAGTGCAGTCATAAGCTGTTTTGTCTGGCGTGCGTGTGCAGGCTCATTCTGTGTCGTATGTGCGTTTGTTTTATTTTAATTTTTTGTTTGTTTTGGTTTATTTGTTTTTTACTTTTTATATTTGGGGGGCACTTTGTTGCTGAGATAAATGATGAATTAACCTGCTTATTTAACAGACTATTTTTCCTTTTAGCAATGATCCATCTTGACACTGACATCAATGATGAAATGTTTATTTTGCTCTGTGAGTTTTCATTGATCCTTTTTGAGTGTCTAACCCTAACTCTAATACTTCCCTTCTATAGTGTTTGTTTGATAGCAGGACGCGGATGCTGTTGACTGGGAGAGGACGTGAATTAAACAGTGAATTTTCCCTTGCATTAACTTGTCTTATTCCTTCTATTTTGTATACGAAAACATCTCTGGTTTGTCAATGCTTTGAATGCAGTTTTGACTAATGGCACTGTGGTTGGTAAAGCCTCATGCTTGAGGTCATCGAAGGGGGGTTTTCTGGATTGAGTCATGACTCCTCGTGTTTGTATACTAGTCTGATATGTGTATGTTTGTGTCCTGGTCTGTCGTTGTTTAGCTTGTGTATATACTGCACGCTCAGTGTACTGCTGTCTGTCGCGCTGTTCGGCTTGTGCTTTCCCCTCTGGGCCTCTCGAGAACCTTTTTTTTGTTATTATTATTATTTTTGCCTATTTCTTTTAATCCCTTACCCCTCACCCCACGACACCACACACACCAGCACATGAAACATATATAACACCTTCCACACACACACCTTCACATCCCATTCACCAATCCCCCAATCCCCACTGGCCTGTGCGTGTGCATGTTTTGTTCCACTGACCAATTCATTGTCTTGTTTCTTTACAGTCGCGGAAAGCCAGTGAACAGGCAAAGAGCACTGACTGTAAAACAGACAGCATAGGCAGTGGAAGGGCCATTCCCATCAAGCAGGTAAGTTACTTCACCCAACATCTGTCTTACTGTACATGGTAAGTATGCCGCTTTAGGACCAGGAGGCGAACGCCTGTAGAAAAGTATGCATTGTTGTGATTGTTGTGCTTGAAATGTAGGTCTGTTCTTGGCCACTAGATGGCAGTATAGCACAGTTCAAAGCCTCCATGAGGACAAGCCACAGCTGCCACAGGACTTACCTCAGAGTTTACCAACAGAGAATGTGGTAAACATCTACTGTACACCTGCCAGGTGCAAGAGCTCCTGATTAGGGCTTTAGAAGGGCACTTTAGTGGAATGATATCTCTAGCATCTAGCAATTGCATTAACTACGGTCATATAAAACTAAAATACTGAGTACGAGTGATTCTGAGAAATCACTCCTGCAGGCACGTGTTACAAATGTTGCAAATGTTATGTTCACATTACTTAGAGCCTTGCTCCTATATCTTAATGTATTGATGTACAGTACTGTGCAAAAGTCAGATGCTATTCTTTCTTTTATGTAAATTCCTGTCAAAATGGCCATTAATTACAAGTTGTTCATTTGTCAGGATAAAAGCAGTGTATATTTAACAGAAAATCACACAGAAGCCTCAACAACTAAATATGCCACATTTTTGAGTGTTTACTATGTCTGGCCTTCACCTTAAATACAAGCTCCAAATCTTTGTGAAGGACTTGCTTTCAGTTCTGCGAACAAATATGCAGGGACATTTTTCACACCTCCAAAGTTCAGTCTTAGAAGTTGATTGCATTTTCTGCTTCTCAGGATCCAAAAAATCACAAACAGATTCATTGATGTTGAGGTCTGGACTGAGAACACAAGCAGCTTCTTTGTTTGATTTGCAGATTTTCTTTAGCAAGTTTCTTTTTCTCAGGAATGGCTTCTTGACAGCTACACATCCTTTCAGACTCATAGCATTGAGATGTCTTCTCACAGTGGAAGGATGAACAGAAACACCTGTGGATTTTTTCAGATCTGAAGGAAGAGTGGAGCTTGTCTTTTTTTTCTTGTCTCTTAAAGACAAAATCTTTAATTACTGTTTTTATCTGATGGTGACCGTATAGGTGGTCTACCAGATCTTGCGCAATTACTAGTAGTCCCATTTCTTTGTATTTTTCAATAACTATAGTTTGGGAAGTTTTTTGTCTTTTCCTTTCGTTAGTAGATTCTTATCTCTTCTGAAATACCTCCTGAAAAAAGAATAACTTGTAATTATTGGCCGTTTGACTGGAAATCACGTAAATTAATGACTTTTACAAAGTAGCATATAACAGTAGTTTTGCTTCACATAGAGGTGCATTGGACAAGAATAAAAATTCTATTAAAGCCAAATTGGCTGATGGCCGATTTAAATTCTTAAGTGGAAAATCTGTTGCCTATTTAAATAGCATGAATCAAATATAGTGCTGCATTGAAAGTAAGACGCTACTGAGTTATGCATAGTTGTGCCAGGACATTTTATTATAGGTTTAGCAGCAGCATTTAAATACAGTGTGAGTGCACCTACCTTACTTACTTTGTCATAAAATTGCAGCTCAGAACATCCAAAGTCAAAATAATAACTTGTCCATTTGCTGGTCAGATTTCTAATTTTCTTGTATATATTCCCCATATCTAACTTATTGTATAGACAGACATAAAAGCACAGTTAGCAGCACTAACAGCACCGGGGGAAAAAGGCAGGGGAGAACAGTTAGCTAAAATGCAGTTTAAGTTAAATTCCCTTTCTGAGTTTATCCTCATTTCAGCTTTTGATTAGTCTTCATTGTCCACAACAATATGCAATCTATTTCAACCCTGTTCACAGTGCTACAGGCCTGTATCACCTTCCTGATATAACAGGATTATAGCAGTGGAACAGGTGACAGAGAGGTCAAAACCAGAGAGACCCCCCCTTCCTGCCACTGTATATCAATTACACCCAGCCTTTCAAGATAATCCCTCTTAAGAAGTGTCACTGTAAGCTGTTTGACTGCATTGAGCAGCCAAAGAAAGAAAGATGAGAGAGATGAAGAGAGAAAGAGAGAAGGTGGTCATGGTGGGACACTTTTGAATGGTGCTGATTGCTCGGCCAGTCAAATGCACAATCGGGAAGATCAAAGTGCCAATGGGAGTATAATTGCCTCCCACTGGGCAAATTACACACTGTGGGCTGCCTCAGCCCACCCCACTCACCCACCCATCTGTAAAAATGGTAAATAAGGCCAACAAAGCTCAGGGGCAGCACGGAAAGGCTGTCAACACTGAGCCATTGTGCTTATCACCAATAAGACCCCACCTCTCCTCCCCTCTCCTCCCTTCTCCTTCCCTTTCTTCTCCTCCCCACCCCTCCGGCCCCCAGGTCAGTGCGGCTGGCCGCTGGCGCTGACAGGACGTAGACACTTTTTATTTGGGCCGTAAGAGCTAGAAAGTCAACCTGTCTGTCTCACACATCCCCCTACGCCCTATCTCTCTCTCTCTCTTTCTTTTTCCCTCTCGCTACCTTTTTCTTTTTTCTCTTTTCTTTTTTCTTCCTGTCTTCTCTTTTTTCTCTTTCTCTCTCTCCCCTTTCCTGTTTTTCCTCTCCTGACCATTACCTTTTTACTTTCTCTCTCTTTTTCTGTCTCTGTCTTCTTTTTTATTTTTGTCACTTTCCTCTCCTCCTTTTTCTCTGTTTCTCTGTCTCTGTTGATCTCTCTCTGCCTCTTAATCCCTCTTCCCTCTCTCTCTCTCTCTCTCTCTCAGTGGACCTTGACAGAGAAGGACATGATTTTATTAATGTCTTTGTGTGTTTGTGGTGTTGAGTCTTTATTACATATAGAGAGAGCAGCTTGTTTTCTGGAGGTGAATGAGATTGACATTTTCACGTAACAGCTAAGGCGCATCCCATCGATACTGCTGAGGGCCTCCGATCCCAGCCACAAAAATAGATTAACACATGTTCTAATTGCACAATTATTGATGCGGCAGACACCGTGCAATCTTTGTTTTCCACTTTTGGCATTGATCTGTTCTCAGCACTGTGGGCTGTGATTTCGCTGGTGTGTGGTCATCCCTCTGTGACCATTCAATACAGACATGCAGCACTAGTAATATTTCTACAAAACTTGCAGGAAGATATCACTCAAGGACTCTTTTGTACTTCAGAAGCTGATAGAACCTTACAAATCATGTTTAGTGAATATTTATCATAAATCTCCTGCTTTCTAATTAAAACATAACTTTAAGAACATGGAAAAACGTGTCATCTTAAGGTGAATGCCATGCTAAAGCTATTTGGTGGAGTGTCTCAATTAAGCATTTTTTTAATGTATATACCATTATGTGGAAAAATCTGAGTGCCCTTGGTCAAATTGCATGTTTTGTTGATTTTCTAAGTGAAAATCAATCACTCTACAGAGAACACTCATGTTTTAATGCACAATTACTGTTTAGTTGCTGAATATATAATTACAGCATCAGTTTTATATTTCAAATTATAGTTTTTATTTTTTCCAATATGTTAAACTCAGGAAATAGATAGTGATTGTGCAATACAATTTTAAGAACAATTGCGTGTTTAGGTTTGTTCTCTGTAGAGGATGTGTTATTTTTAGTAATCCATAAAACATATAATTTGTTCAAACTTTCTCTAGTGCCTCAACAGGTTACAAGCTTCTCATAGTACTACTAATACTACTACTAATAATAATAAAAAAAAATAAAAAGGATAACAATAGGGATGCTCTGATATGTTAATTGTGGGCCTGTGTCGATATCCAGGAATTTTTATGCATATCTTCCAAAGCCAGTGTACATAAACATTTATAAAATGTTGAATTTTAGACTACATCAAGATGGACTAGCTTTATAAAAAAAATTCTGAGAAATTTTTGAAACATCTTTTAAAGTAAAAATCTGCCGATAATGATATGATTCTGCTACGATTGTGCATAGCATTATAATAGTATTAATAATTATAATAATATTGTTTTCTGTACACTATTTTTCATTGGCTTTTGTTGCAGAGGTTATATTTGCATTCTATAAAAATGTAAAACTATTCCTCAGTGTATTGTATAGATTACAGTATGTATAATAAAGTGGCCATTGTCAATTCTAAACAAACCAAAGAACAAAAATTAAAACTAGTTTATCTTTATAAAACACATTGAGTTGCATTTTAATGTATGAAAGGTGCTATATGAATAAAGTTTACTTAAAGTTGTAAATGTAAATCATTTAAAAAAACTCACAAACTTGAAAAGTTTTCAAAGTACAAATTTCAAAAGTACAGACCTGTAACTTTAACAAATGTGTGACATTAGAAGAAACTGTAGTTTTTATTTGTTGATAAAACATTTCTGGGGTTCAGTATGAAGAAGCTGTGCCTTATTTAACTAGTAGTTAACACCAGATGCATTAAATCACACTGTTTTAGTGTAGAATGAGAAGAGAGGAGACATCAGTGTAAGTGTGATATGAGGATTAAAGCTGATTGTCAGGTAAACAGCCTAATGCCCAGTTGACCCCGGGTCAACTCCTAATGAGCTGCTCCTAAAAATCAGCCCCCTTTTGGGAATGGGATTGGCCTGTTAAAACATCCAGGCCCCCTCTCCACACACACACAAACACAAACTCAAACTCTTTACTTGAAGTGTTAAGTAGCACAAGAAATCCCCCCTAATCCCTGATTAAGCCCCCCTGCCCTTTTCCCTCATGTTTGGGCCCCCTCTGGCTCAGGGCCTTGCATTGTTTGTCCTGGATTGGCTTTAGGAGATAAGGGAACAATCAGCGCTGTTGGCCAGAGCGGCAGGAGAAGGCTGAAGGACATGCAGCCAGGCTTTGAAGAGGTTCAGATCACACAGGCTAATCCCAAACTGGCAGAGGTCTGCTGGAGTTCATCGGCCGCTGCATACAGAGGGGCCTTCCGCACAAATTGGATTTAGCCTCCCCTCTCATTGCAGCCAGGCTATTGATATTTGCATGGATGGCAGGGGCTGGATGAAAGTAGGGTGTATAATGTCACAACCTAAATACATACACACTTACTTATTTAGCTGTATATGTATGTGCATATTAACTGAATTTGAATGGCACTGTATTTAGAGTTCTCCCTCCTTCCACTGAAAACCTCTTCAGAACTTAAAACAATAGTTTACACAGCTTTTTCATTCAAAATATTGTTGATCTTCCAAGATCCACGTTTGGTGTCTGAAGTTTGCTTCATTAGTTTTGTATTGGCGCTACAAGGCTAATGTAGTTAAATCATGGAAGCCTATATCCCACCAATTAGCACTGTGCAAAATTGTGCCAAATCATAGCACGCTGTGTGGCATAATGTTGTCTAGAAAAATAAGCAGAAAACATGATATAGCTGAAAACAATAGTAGCCATATACAGGGATTATTTTTTTTACATTTCTGCATTTTTCAATAGTTGATATGTAAATAAGGTCATTTAAGAGTGGTTTGATAAGGGTTCATTGTAGAGAAGCTAACAGACTCTTTACGATGATAGTGATAGAAACCTACAGTGCAAGTACAACCATTTTATTTAATATGCAAAATAACCAGTTACACTACAAATATTTTCTGAGTTCTTATATGTAATACTGTTATAAAATAGTAGTAAGTCAAAACAACATAGCCTTATAACACTCTGCATGTACGTCTCTGCCATTAATAGCTTTTTAAAAATACATTTTAGATCAAAACCTTTAAAAGAATTGTTGTAAAACAATCTGTCATGTATCAGGTGGCGTAGAGGCATTAAACTCTTCAGATTTCTGGTTCCTCTTACCGCTACTGTGAACAATTCTAAATAAGTACATTTCTCTAGAATGGAGCATTTCACTTCAGACCACTCTGAATGTCTTGATTTACATCTTAACGATTTAGTTATGAGAAATCAGAGGAATTCCCCTGTCAGAAATGCCAGCATACACACTGTCCCTCCAGATGTACTCAGCAAGAATTCGGAAGCTGTTTTTATTCACATGAATCTCCTCTTGTCATCATCTGTTTGTGTTTTTTACAGGGCATTCTCCTCAAGAGAAGTGGGAAATCGCTGAATAAGGAGTGGAAAAAGAAGTATGTCACGCTGTGTGATAATGGCCTTCTCACTTACCATCCTAGTTTACATGTGAGTGACATCACAACCCTATTCCTCCATAAACGAATATATTTATATGGTTATGTAGCTATACACCTGTTCTGAACTGTGTACTTCAAATACAGTAATGCTCCATGGTCACAAGATCACAGTATTTTGAGTGAGGATTGTCCTGGCTGGACCTGCAGGGATCCTTTAATACCGAGAGGTGAATGGGATTTTAGGTATGATTTTATTTAGGCCTGTGCCAATTAGGGATATGCAGTTTGACTAATTTTCATCGTTGGGTGTCCATAAGGTTCAGTTCAGTTCAGAGTACTTTATTAGTCCCAAAAAGGGCAATTCATTTGCAGCTTTCCCCATCCATACGTGCAACTATACATACATACACACACATACATACATACATACATACATACATACATACATACTTTAAAAAAAAAAAAGGTTAATAAGGGTTAATGAACAGAAAATAGGTTAACTGCAGGAAAACGCAAAAAAAAGGACTTCAACAGACATTAATTTAGGGTTATGCACTTAACATGTTAGGTGACAGCCATGGTGTAGCAAACATTTTAAAACATGTTTTATTTTTCAAAAATAGCCAAAGGACATCAGTAGATTTTTTGTGTTGGGTCAGTAACAAAGGCTGCATCTACACATGAGCTAACAAGCTAACAGAGCTAACCGTTACATTGCTGGATGCTCATGTGCACTTGTCTATTTTTGTCGGAGAAATATATTTTCTGAACATAACTAACATTAGAATAGGGATAGAGTAGTTAGCCTAGTTAGTGATACAGCCGTGCCAAAGGCTCTCTCTTTCAGGTCCTTAACAATGCGTCCTAGGCAACATGAGCACATTATGGCAAGTGTTTTGGATTGAATTGAGTTGGTTGTTTGTTTTTTGTTCGTTTTCCTGCAATAAATTGTAATTAATACCTGAACTAATTAATACCCACTTCCCTAGTGCCAGTGATTAAAATACTCTTATTAGGATCACTGTGTGGGAAATAGGCTTGGTAAACCATGAAACCTGGTACAAAGAGTGTAAAGAGTTACAAATTACATGAAGAAAAAATATTGCTGCTGTTATTATTATTATTATTATTATTATTATTATCATTATTATTATTATTATTATTAACCTTTTTGTAAACACATCTGCTCCTGCTTCCAGGAACATCACTGATGATGTGTCCAAAAGCATTAGCAGATGTACTTACAAAGATAGTAGTAGTACTACTACTACTACTACCACTACTACAATGTATAATCACAATAATAGCAACTCCCTGACCCTAAAGCGAATGCAAGACCAAGTGCAGTGATACAGTTTGAGTTGAATTTTGTTCTTCATCAAATAAAAGAACAATATAAGCATGCAGTTCAATAAGATATGTGGTTGTAGTACACTGTCATCTGTATTTGGCCTTGAGAATGTAATCAATATGGTAAAAAAAAAAATGCCATCCAATGTCATGGTCTCTGTAGCTGCTTAGCATTGCCTGACTATGAGAGGACGTGTGACGTGACTGTTTCCTGAGACCCAAAGCCATTTTGTTCAATGTGTGAAGCCTGATGGTGTAGTCTGAGGATGTTCAAAAATGTACACCGTAACATAGACAGTTTTTTTATAGGCATAATATCTGCGTGCAGCACTTAGCCAGTTCAACCAGTGCAGCTCAACAGCCATGTTTTTACAATTTCATCTGTTCTCGGTTAGGGCTGGGCGATAAAACAATAACGATAAGTATCGCGATATAACTTTTCCTTGATAAAGCGTTAAGACAGGTTTGATAAATTTTCAATACAATACACCGTTCTCACACTTCCACATTTTAGCGAAAGCCCTGGTGGCGTTTTCTACTGCAAGGAAAGCGACACTACTCTGCTGTCGCCAGGAGAGGGCACACTTCCGAGTTTTTCGACTTGATTAGAGAGGGAGGAGGCTACGAGTAAAAAAAAAAAAGGGTTGCCAAATATACTTTAGCTACATCTGAAATGTGGAGTTATACATTCCCTGTTTGAGTGGAGCAACCAGCGATCTGTTCTCCTGTGATCAAGTGACAAGATAAGTGATGTAACTGTACTGTCCTACGGTGAACTCACCTTTCTGTGCATCCTAACAACTTTAGCGGTGTTAAATCACGTCTGCAGTGCCGTGTTACAGCGCCAAACCATCATATTTTAGTATTAGTGCATTCTCGAGCAACGAAAGTGAAAGAAAGAAGTGGGTTAATGTTAGTTACAGCCCTGATTTAAACCAAAGTAAACTGAGGAAGCTGTGAGGCATTGGAGAGCAGGAGAGCGCTATCTTTCCAGGCTAGCTGTTTTTTAGCTGCTGGCTAATTGAAGCAGCACTCCGGCGCAACACGGTGAATTGATGATACGGTAGATCAAACAAGACTCAAAACCGCTTTCAGTTTAAACATACCTAAAAGGAGGACTCTGTTTGACTGGTGCGAGAGATTCACGCTGCAGATAATGCTTTTACACAGTGAACGTCAGATATTTTGCGGTTCACCCCTTAAACTACTACGATAGCATAGAGAAATCCAGTCGTCGCTAGCTGGTGTCTGAATACTGTGATATGCTCTGACATGGATGTGGTAGGAGTGACAGCAGTGACCTACTGAACCGAGTTGACATTGTTGAGAAACTAAAGAGTTTAGCGCTGTTGTTGGCCACTTGTTTAGTATTTGTAACTGGATAGCTGAGCACTCGTCACCAGACAGCTAGAAATAATCTGTTTTCTTTCTTAGATAATGACTGTTACAAAAATTGCCGCTGTGCTTTTCCAGCTGATAAAAACAGCTCAGAAACTTTCTCCCACTGTCCCAAGACAGATTTGTGAAATGTTCCACTGTTTGCTGAGTGTTTGTCATGATGCGACCATAAGTGATAGTTTAAAACCGCAATTAACCACCCAGGAGCAAAATCAGCCTTCAAACGTGAAAGAAATAATGATTTGACATTTATCACGATATGTATCGATATCGAACGATATGAGTTTTGTTTATCGTGATAACGCTTTTGGCCATATCGGCCAGCTCTATTCTCGGTACAATAAATGTAATATTAATTATGTAAAGATTAAATAATGTTTAAGTGTGGGAATCTTAGTGCCCCCCTGCCAAACCAGCACTAAGTGAGTTTTTACAATCCATGGAGGTGTGATAACTCTGTTAACGGTCACTTGGCACAGTAAAATTTTACATTTGATACCAGTGGACACCATTATTATATGTGTGTCTCAGAATTACAGAGTGTGATGCTTTGGCAGTAAATGACCGCATTGCCATAGAAGAGGGAGAGGCCATGCTTTTGTACCACAGTGACACCATGATGATGCTTTAGCAGTAAAGGTTATTTATTTACCGCCATAGCATTTGGATCACCCTGATCCTGAGCCATAAGACTTGTTGAGACTGTAGGATGAGGGCTAGAGGGGTTATCCTCCTGTTGCCACGGCAGCAAGGGTTTCTTAAGGCGCTCGCCACAGGCACGCTGCACGCTGATCTGCATGGAGCATTCATCTCTGTCAGGACCCCCACATGTTCTTCATACCTCTTAAACTGTCTTAGAGGGCAACTTCCCCTGGTCATTATCTCTCGTTCTGCTTGTTTCTTTTCTTCTATTTCTCACTATCTGTCTCTCAACATAACCATTTCCTTCTCTCCATTCCTTGTCCATTGTCTCCATTGTCTATTCCGTTGTTTCTGTCCTCATTAGTCTTTGCAGTCTTAACAGTCTGATGGTCTAAAGTTTTTTGATCATTTAATAATTTTTTCCTAAATTTACCTTTGATTAAGCATGGATATCAAACCATGTTGGATTTGAAATGCATTTCTCTTTAACAGGGTTTTCTGCAGATCCTTAAAACTCTTAAAAAGTCTTTAAGTCTCTAAATGTCTTGTTTTGTTCCTTTTAGAGGTATTAAATTGTCCATAGCCTTCAGCAGTGAGGAGAGTTTTTAGAAGGTAGCAGTGTGGTCTTAATGTCTGAGGGCTGGAGCTACTTTAAAGTGGAAAATGAGAATATATCTTCAGTTGCGTGTTTCTACTGTATTTGAACCAGCGGCCTTTCATCTAAACACTGGCATGTAAATTGTGAGCGCATAGCTGTTTTCTCTGTTTTCAACTGTTTGTTATGACTGTCATGCGGCCAAAACCGTGTACAAAATACATTTTTACAATATGCATTTTTCTCTTGCAATTTGTGACTGATTGAAAGTCTGCTTTAAGGGCTGCACCGCATTGCTTCTGGTTTTAAACTGCCATTAGCAGAAACGGCACGTTCAAAACCGAGAGAAGGGAGCCGTTGCTCAGAGTGTATTCACAACACTGTAAAATTGTTATTTCATGCAAAGTTCATAAAAAATTCATAAAAGATTATAAGTAAACATTAAAAAAAATTGTAAGCCAAAAATATAAATATATTTGTCCAGAATGTCACATTATGTATGTACTTAAAATGAAGCAATTTTACTATAGTATTAATTGACAGCCTAGCATATCTCACCTAAATTAAGTAGCTGTATTATCTGTGAAAACACACTGATTGGATTAAACAATACTAAAGGACTTGAATTGGATTAGGGGTCAGAGGAACATCCTTCATTGAATTCTAAGATGAGGAAAGTGGAAAGCTACTTTTCCACTGTAACAAGAATCTTCAAGCTGTATAAATGAAAGCAAGAACAAGCGGCTACAATTGTCAAAGTTGGAACAACTGACAGTATATTACATTAATTATATAATACTTATGGTATTTTTTGTTTAGAACATGCAGCCACTGCAGATATTCATGTTAAGATTCATGTATGTGTGTACATAATAAATATAGTGTTATTGAAAATATTAAAGGTCATAAATGCATTCTGATAAAGCTTATTTTGGCCATGCAGGTAGCCATAACAAATGCACTGCTTTTTAAACAAATCTTTCTTCGGGGTCAAATTTGAGCAAATAAGATAAACGTGATTGATCATGATTAACATCACAAAACAGTGCGACTAATTGCGATTAATTAGATTAATTGTTGTGATTAATGATCTGATCTAGTTAGAGTTTGTCCATGTAACTGAGCTGATGAAGATACGAAAGGCAAAATCTGGTCTTGGGTGAGAGGAGTTACTCTCTCTTTTTTTGCATGCATGTGACATCTCGTGAACAATGATTCTTGTCTTGCTGTCTTTTAAATTAGTCATGTGTTCGCAAACAACCCCCGTGTGATGCGCTGAATCTCTTGTACACTGCAGTGATGTACTGTACGCGACAGGCAGCTTTTGGCTCGAGCATCATTACTTTTAGTGTTAGAGCTATTAGCGGCTGGACACCTGTGGCCCATGCAGCTCCATGAGTTACTCACACCATTTAACTGCAGTGAGGTTGCTGAGAGAGAGAGAGAGAGAGAGAGAGAGAGAGTAGAGAGAGAAACTGTTTAATTTTGCATTGCAGCCAGCAGAGCCGTCCCACAATCCCCTTCTGTTAATTCTGTCTGCTACATCAATTAAATTGTTTGTAGAAACTAATTGAATATGGCTTAATCACACATCTTAATAGCTTTCTGCGCCTCGAACTGGCTGTTAATTCCTGCAATAAAGTGAAATGAGAGCGCTCACTGGGTAATTAGCAGCGAGGCTTTCGAAGAAATTAGTGCTTTATGGTGCGCAGTAAAAACGCAAAGGAGTTTGGTGGGAGGCTTTCCGAGGCCAAAATCTCAACGCGGCTTTTTTGTGCTGATCGGGGTGATTTTCACCTTGGCTTACCCCATTTGAGTCATGCAAGCTCCCATGCAAATGGAATGGCCGTATTTAAATGGGAATGAGTCTATTTGCAGTCATTAGTGCTAATTCTGCTAATCTGCAGAACCGGAGATGCAGGTGAAGTTAATCGTGTGGGCTTTTGTTTGTGATCTGATTGTTGGATGTTGGGTCTCGTTGAAGTGGTATCTTTAAAAAGCAATCACAGTGGACATTGTTTTCTTCTAGTGTCAATTATGTCCTGACCACCCAATTGTTATTACTGTCAGGCACACATTTAACATGAAGATGTCTGGGAACTCCAGTTTTGCCATTGCTCTGTTTACAAATAGCATGTCCGAAATAATTAATAAATAATGTAATAAATCGTTAGTTGTCTATCTTAATTTCTGCTTCCTTCTTCTTGGTAAGTTGGACCCGTGTGAAATGTCTCTGAATATCTAGAAGAGCTTAAAAACGGATGTGTTTCTGAACTTTTTTCCTTGTTGTTGTGTTTCAGGATTACATGCAGAATGTCCATGGTAAAGAGATCGACTTGTTGCGGACGACAGTGAAGGTGCCAGGAAAGAGGCCACCCAGGGCTGTCGCTACGGTTGCTCCAACTGCTAGCCCCAAAACCAACGGTTTAACCAAGGACAGAAGCACTCTACAGCTCGGTATTGGAGCCACCGGTGAGTGAGGAAAGCTCCAGAAAGAGTGCCGGGTCATTTGTAGCTATGTCTCAATATAAAAAGAAAGGTTACCAAATAAACATGTCATGATACCAGAACTTTGATAGTCCATATCAATACTGGGGAAATTTTCGAGACCTCATTCAGTATCACAGGAAAAACAGAAATTGCATTCAGCAGATGCTACTTTACTAAAAAGTATTTTTTCTGTGAACATTATCAACTATAACAAATATGAATAGAATGTAGCCCTCATGTACTTAACAAAAGTAAACAGAAGTCAATATCCTTTATATTCATTGAATTGTTTCAGTAATAGGCTAATAATTAGAAACACACTGATTTAAAAGATGTTTTTATTATGGAATAAATAACCTTTTATACAAAACTGCAAAATGATTGATTCAACACATACTGGGGGAAATGGATAGAACATGTCAATCCAATTCATTCTCATGTATTTGTGTCATAGATGTATGCAAGACTGTAGCTACCAACATCTATTTCAAACACTCTAAATAGTTATACATTCAGGGAAAGAAAGACAGTATATGGACTTGGTTTTTATGTATTTTTCATTCCATTTTCATTTGCACTGTGACATTAATAAGAATGGAATTAGACTAGTTTTGGTAAACGACAATCTACCTAAAAGGCAAATGGTATATTTTGCTTACACATGACTGAATGATACATGGTATTTTGAGGTAGCAACTTAAAGCAGTAAGGTCATTTATAAAAAGCCATATGAAGTCACATGCCTGTAATAATATTAAACACAAATACAAAGCCGTGGTAGTCATTTAGTCATTAAAAAAGAGTAATGCATTTTTTCTAGATAAGAATATTAATTATGAATCACTTGCCAAACTGAACTGAAAGTGACCTGTTCGAGCTGCTTTAGTTGCTAAATTTGGTGTGTTACTTCCTTAATTTTTCGTGTAAAATCAGTGTCCTTGTTTGCAAAAGTATTTCAGTGTGGGAATTCTGCTGCTTTTCTACATGTTAAGTGTTATTAGAAAAGTTGTTAGTTGTTAGAAAAGAGTTTTGGCATCAACTAGGCACCGAAGTAAGGATTTTTGTGCCATCTCTATTAAAAAATACCTCAGTTGTCTCAAATTTTTTTAAACGGTTTGAGACGTTGGAGAAAGATATATGTAATCTTACTTACTTTGGCGGTAGGTTTACAATAACTGTGAAGCCGTGAAGTTTTAAAAGTTTATTTAAAAGTGTTCTGTTGGTTTATGTGTCACTTCTTGCACTACAAGCCTGAATAGGACACTTTGTTAGTATATTAGTAATATCAAAGCCTGTTGGTGAAATGGGAATGGGCTAAATTGGTACATATTATTCACATGTAAAAATAATTATTGCTGTTGGTTATGATACTCATTTAAAGGCTTTCAATGCGTAAGAAATGGGATCCAGCTGTGGCTCAGATTGAGGTTTTTCCTTTTAGTTAGTGCAGTAGAAATAAAGCCATTCACTCCACTGTCCCTCATGAGAGCTAACAGAGATGATGTAAGAGGAAGGTGTAATTAGATTTAGGGGGTTTGCAGTAAGAGTAATTAATAAAAATTAGAAGCCCTATCCTGTTGGGGCTTCTTCAGTCTGGTGTGGTTTCTGTGTGTAGAGAGCTGCCCAGGACCTTGCTGTGGCTCAGCCTGGGCTAATTGCTTCGTGCCATTAAAGGCAGTCTGGCAAGGGCTTCTGGGAATTGCAGTACACTGGACCAAGTCCAGATTCATGGGTCGAGCAGAGAGGTGGCTTAATTAGTCAAAAAGCAAAGAGAGATGTGCAGTAGAGTTTGCAGTAGAGCTTGAGGAAAAGGCTCAGGGGTTAAAAGCTGTTGGAGTGGTGACTAATGATTAACCTTCAGGTGACTGCAGGGAAAATGGGTTGGATTTTTAAGAGGAACGGGGACAGTGCTTGTGCGTCTGTACCTGAAATAGTCTGCACATATGGACCACGTTTGGCCAAAAACTGGAAATTAATGTTTGTAGGTAAAAATGCACAAAAACGGCTGTAGGCAGAAAAGAACCAGCTACGTATTTAGCTGTTTTACGTGTTTTTTTTTGGTTTTTGGTGAGAGCTGTTCACAGTAAACACTATGAACTGCAAAAGTTTTTATTTAAGTTTTTATTTATTTATTTTCTTTTTTGGATGTAATTCGCATTTGTCAGCTCCCTTTAACATTGTGTCAGGATTTCATTCAATGAACAGGTAGAAATTACCTAAAAGTACTTGGAATAAAAAATTCTCCTTTAACTTCCATTAAAATTTAAGAATGATTTTTCCTTATCCTGTAAAGGAACCTTTTTGGAGATACAATGTTTTGTTCCAACAGCAACAATATGCTCTCTTGACTTGTCTTGATGTATATAACTTGATATAACTAAAAAAAAACAAAACAATAATAGTAATGGTCTTCAACAGTGTCATGTTACAATTACTATTAATTGTCGGAATGATAGAAATGACGGAAGCCATGATATTTGATATTACGGCATTTTATTTCACATGCTAGTTTTTGCTAAGCATGCTCTAGTCATGACTTCAATCATGATGGCATCTGTCATGACAATTATCGGTAAAGGTAACAAGATGTTGTAGAACTTTATTTTTATTCAACCGTTCTTTAAACACGAAGCTTACATTATGTGGCCTTAAAAAAAACAAGTGAAACACACTAGCACATTTCCACTTTTTATTAGCCATCTTATTTATTAGTCACAACACAAATAACATTATTTGCTCTTTAATTGGCCAAGCTGGCATTTCAAATCCTTAAATAAAAAAATCATGTGCTTGTTCAAAGAACATGAATCAAATAAAGCGCTACATCCAAAGTAAGAGGCAACTGGTTATTTAGCACAATGAGTCTGACTGCCATGTTCTTATAACTGGATATAATTTGTCATGAAAGCACTTGACATTTGCCATGGTATGTTTATAGCACGGTTATATTCTTGCCTTCACATTAAAGGCCCGACTTGTAAAATTTGAACCATGAACGTGCTTGCGCTATCAGAGATGGATTACTATAGAGAAGGTTTTAGGAGTGATTCCGAAGACAGCTATAGACTTTAATAGAGAGAGAAAAAAGAGCACATACAGGTGAGAAAATGCGTTATCTGAAATTTATGTAAGCATATCAGTTCAAATCAAAGCAGATCAACTACCTAATATACCTCCTTAGAGAGCAAACGCGAGGCTGATGTTATACATAAAAAATCAGCCCAAATCCAGCACAAACTGGCCCCTGCTGGGCTTGAGTCGGGTAGTAGACCTCTAATGCTCATAAATATATTCATAATTGCTCACGTAAAAAACACAACAGTCTACATAAGCATTAATATGTCTGTATAAGACTTAAATATTATGAATGTGTAAAAATTTCCTGAAGCTGAAGTAGGGACCGTAAAGTGAAGTGTCACTGCATTTGAAGTCTGGATTTTTTTTTGTTGAAGTGCCACTCTTTTAAACTCCTTATGTGTAGACTTTTAAGCCCTTTTCTTCTTCCTCAGTCTCTCTTCTGTGCTGTTTCTCAAGGTGTCGCTTGACCCATCAGCGAGCACCAAACTAAACGGTGCAGTGCGTCCCCCCACGGTTGTGACACGGGTGCTTCTGCCGATCTGTCTGAAACGGTGTTAATTTCCACTCGAGAGGAAGAAGGCTGCAGTTCGCTGTGGGCCTCTGCTGAGTGGAGGGCCTGCACTTGATTATGCAATCTGATTTTGATTTCATTAGGCATGCAATTGATGCGAGGGAACAAAGGGGTAATTTTTCATTCATGGTGCTCTCGCTGAGCCCTGTCTTTTCCTTTTGCCAGTTATTCATTCACCACCACTTACCCCACCCCACCCCCCACCAAATGAAGACCATTAGTGATGCTTTTTGGCGGTGGTGGGGGCATTGGAAAGATAGAAAAGAAAGAGCAGAAGAAAGAGTGTGAAGATAGGAACGAAGGATGGAAAATGAATGAACGCATGTGTCCAAGAGTAAAAAGAGTCTGTCGACACGAGGCCCGGTCTAATCTTTCTGCTAAGTACTCACTGGAACCATTTAAATATGATGCTTCTGCCTGAAAGCATTCGCTTGTGTCACCACAGACAGATACGTAATATCAAAGCGCTAATGGTCCTGCCCATCAGCCTTAATCAATGACATCTGCCTGAACGCTGGAAGCGCTGGGTGGAGGTATGTGTTCCAGGGAGCATGTCGGCTTCTGATTTGCGCGTATTTGTTTGGATGTGTACCATACAAATATGTCATATTTACAAGGTTGTGCATTTTTTGTGCTGTGTTTTGTGTACAGTACCAGTCAAAAGTTGCCTACTTAAGAAGGATTTCTTCTATTTCTACTTTTAAACTAAGAAATAACACATGTAATAATGCTGTTACCAATATTTTAGATTCTTCAAAGTTGCTCCTTTGCCTTGATACTTTGCACACTTTGCACACTTGATGCTGAGCATGATCTCAAACAGGTTCATAAGGAAAAGTACTTGTTCGAAAAGATATTTACTAAATTAAAGCTGTTGAATAAGACTTTCTATGGATACCGCGTTTTTAAGAATGTGCGAATAAATTTATATGCTATAATCTGTCCATAAGGCATGGTATACACATGGCTACAAATATTTATAACAGTGCATTACGCTTTTATGCATGTTTATTATGTGTTATGCATTGTTAGCGTATAGTTATTTTACTGTATTGTAAATTGTCTTTGCAAGCTTCAAGTGACAAAATGTATATTATCAGTATTTACAGCCATGTTTATAATGCCTTACGAATGGTGTTGGGCTATATGGCAACAATATCGCAATACATTTCCACAAATGTCTCTATTTGTTTTTTCAACATATCTGATATGTTGGAACAGGCAGAAAAGAGCCTGCAGTGCCACATTGACAAATTAATATAACAGAAACTTTGAGTACAGATGATTTTTTATTTAACAAGGCTTTATGCTCTGTTTGTAATGAAATATGCAG